TTCCGCGCTTCCCCCCCCCCCCCTCCTCCTCCTCCTTCATTTCTTTCTCCTCCACCTCTTCTTTTCGCTAACCCGCCTTTCAATCGTATTTTTCGCTCTCGACCCTCTCTTCGTCCCCCCCTGCCTCCCTGCCCCGTTTTCCACCCCCTCCGTTCCTCGCTTACTATCAACGCGGCATTAATTATGGTGGATATATGGGCTGGGGCGACATTTTGTTCGCTCGCGCGCGCGCTCACGCACGCACGCACGCATACTAAAATGGATATGTATCGCCGTCGTCCCGCGTTTTGTACCGGATCGATATCCACGCGCGATAGTTTTTATTCAGGTGACGAGATGTATAGGGCTCTGCTTTACCGCGCGAGTTGATCGGCGTCGAACTCTTTCTCTCTCACTCTTTCTCTCTCTCTCTTTCTCCTTCTGCCTTCCTTCCCTCTTTGCCTTTCCCTTCGAAACGCGCGGCATTTTCTTCTTTTTTTCTCTGTAGGGAGGAATATCGAACTCTGGCATTATAGACGGATACGCCTCGAACGTACCAAATCACCTTTTATACATACGGAACGCGTATTGACATTCCATGTTCCAGTTTCACTGCGAAATCTGTATTCAATTCCGTTACGAGAGGTACACATCGAGCCGCCTGTATCATCTAACAAAGAAAGAGATATTAGGTTTGTTTTTTTGTAGAATTTCCTCTACTAGTCTACGATAAAAATGAGATATATATATGTATATATATATATTTAGAAGTTGGAAAGAGAGCAAAAACAAAAAGTACTAGAAGCTCAGCTACAAAGAACAAACCTACTGAAGATCTCTTGAATTATACGCAATTAAAAATCAAGGACTTTCTAAGAATTCACACACAAATACATAATAAAATCTTATTCTTTTCATGCAGACTTAATTTTGTTTCAAGCATTAATTAAAAAGATATTTGATGTCTAACATTGAGTCTGCGATCAAGAAGAACTCTCTCTCTGAGGAAAAAATAATGCCAAACTAATAGAATCTATTTAAAAAATTTAATTTTCTAAGTATAAAAGAATTCTATTTTAAAGGAACGGATTTTAAAACATGATTTTGGAACATTAAATGTCAATATACGTTTTATATTTTACATAAAACATACTTAATTAGGTTATTTTGATGATAATTATGAAAATAAACTGATTACATTCCTCAATAATATGTTACTGACGACATACATACAACATATTAATTCTTATTTATAAATGCTTATTATAGATTATAGAGAAAGCAAATTTGCAATAACATTTAACTTTATTACATTAGTATTAAATATGCTCATATCTCAGCACATTTTTACTATTTTTACATTTAAAATGAAATAGGAATATTTATTATCTTTTCAAAGGGAAAGCGAAAAGAAAGAAATCATATATTTGAAATGAAAATAAATTCTGATATTAAAACTACTATATCATAATATTCCAATCATGTTTAAGTGAAATAATGAAATTGAAATGAAAAATATGCATCTATGTAAGAGGAATATTCATGCTATCAATTGTGAACAGAGATTAATATTTTTATAATATTTTGCACAGTATATCTCTGTGTATTTTTTAGTAAAAACATTTGCTGAAATCAGTACTTCCGCTATACATCAATGAGAATTTAAAAGACTTCAGTGTTTTGAGATACTCAGCATTATTCTTATCACACATAGCTAACATAACAAAATTTCACAGCAAATAATTATTGCTATAAAGTACATATCGAATAACATGGAAAAGTTGCTTCCATATAAATTGACATGATTTTTTTAACTGTTTGCGTGCATATGTGATATAATTATAATTCTGATGTATCGCAAGATAATCATGATACATAACCTATCAATCGTGTTTTATCGGTTATTTAATTCCTGAAATGATAAAGCCGTAAGAAAATCTCGTTGATAATGAAATTCGATCGAGACATGAAGCATCATGATATTAATACCGATAAGTTCACCTATATATGGAGTAGATCGGTGAAATTACACACATGTCTTTGTTCCTTCACTGCACATGCAATCATCTTGCACGTTATTTCACGCGGCAACGAGAAAGCAGCGGCGAGAAATTGGCAATTTTTGAGAAACTTACTTCGTTAGAACGATAAAGATTTCCGCAGGCGTAAAAAATGTATAACGCACACAGTACACTTCACTCTTGCACATCGAACTCGTAATAGCCTTGCTGGCAATGATAATCGTCAAGTTCAGATCCCACAATGCAAATATGCGTATCTGTGAAGGTTATGTTAAGGGGCGACATATATTGCACGATTTTAATGGCTACTTCATACTTTCTTATTTTTCGTTTTTCTTTTTTTTTCTTTTTTTTTTTCTTTTTTATTCCGATATTCGATTACAAAGTAGACACCTGCGATATATTTTTTGTTAAGATAAAAATGAATATTACTGTACACTAAAACACAAAATAGAAATATATATTGTTTAAATATAGATTTTACGGTTTCTGTATTATGTACATATATTTATTATAAACGTTAAATGAGAAATCTGCTTTTTTAAAGGAATTTAGAATAAATTTTAAACTAAAATAAGGATAATATATATTTTTATTATATTGATATCTCTAAGAATTTTTCTTTTTTATTTTTATAATCTGTTTCTATTATAGATGCAGTATGATGAAAAGATTGAAACTAGCATGAAAATGAATGTAAAATGGCAAAGAAAAAGGGCTATGTATAAATGAACACTGTCGGTGAAAGATACTTCTATCTCTAAGAGAAAAGAAGTTTATCTAAGTTTATACTCGATTTTGCAAGAGTATAAAAGAAAACATGACAGATGTTAAACCGATTGGAATTTCGCCATCTCAACCACAACAACAACAGCAGTCACAACAACAACCTCAACAACAGCAACAAATAATGATTGCAACTCACGATTTGCAACAGCAGCAAAATGTTCAGCAGTCGCAGCAACAGCATGTACAGCAACCACAGCAGCCTCAACAGGTTCAACAAGCTCAACAAGTGCAGCAACAACAAGTTCAACCACAGCAGCAGATGCAGCAGCAGGTCCAGTCACAACAGCAAATGCAAGTTCAGCAGCAGCAGCAGCAGCAGCAACAACAACAGGCACAACAACAACAGCAGCAGCAACAAAATAATGGACCGCACAATGTCGTTCCTACTCAAGTTCAAGTGCAGCCACAGGTAGCTGCAAGCATGTCTCAACAACAGGTAGTTATTCATTTATAATTTTAATTCTTAAATATCTATCTATCGATATTCTTTTACATCTTGTTGTTAAAAAAGTTGCAGAATGCTGTTGCGGTGTCGATGCAGCATCAGCAACAAGGAGTAGGTGGTGTGTCCATGACATTATCTGGTCAGCAGGGTGCAACTACTATTACTACAATGGCTGCACATCCACAAGCAGTCCAGGTGATTCAACAACCGATGCAGAGTCAAGCTTATCATTTACAACAATTATATAATACTCAAGGCACGCCTTTATTGATGCCAGGAAATCTCGCGCTGCATCCAGCAGGCATAAATCCTTCTTCTATTCAGGTATAGTTTAATTTGCTTTAATCTATAAATTCTTTTATCTCTGGTGATATGTACTGGAAGTTAATATGTGCCAGAGTATTTCTCTCTCTTCTCTTTGTCTTTCTCTGTTAGACTTGTGTTTTTTGGATTTAAAAGAACAATATATATTTTGCAGGTGATAACAGCTGGAAAGCCTTTTCAATCTGCAGCTCAACTGACTCCTCATATGCTAACTACGGCGTCGACGCCCGGTCAAGGCGGTGGTCATCCTGGTGCAGGTGGCACCAAAGTCCAAGGATTTCCTACCGGTTATCTACCAGTACCCACATCTGCTACTCCTGGTGCTGGTCAAACATTGGTATTTGGTCAACTTGGCGTATTGGGTTCACCACAACCGCCGCCTTCGCTGCAACAGCAGCAGCAGCAACAATCCGCGAATAAGCAGGATCAGGTGCAAAAGGTGAACATAATAAAAACGCGTTTATTCCATGACATTAGAGCGTGTCACATATATTTATTTTTTAAAAATACTACTGTATATATTTACTCAATTTTTATTATATCTTGAAACAGTATACAGCCTGCACTGCTGGGACACCCTCTGGTGGAAGAGGTGGTGGTATGCAGTTTGCACCCTGGCAATTTGCTCCACAAGTATGGACTGCTGGATTACAGCAACCAACCCTTCTCACTGCCGCGCCTAATCAGATATTCATTCGTGGTCCGACGCAACCAGACATGTTTATACAAAGTCCACAACCGATACAAACGCATAATGGTAAGTATTTTTATCGTTCCTTAATAGATTATTTAAACATTTTTGAAATTAGCGTTTAATATTTTTCATAATTCTTTGAATACTTTCTCAGTATAAGATGATAGTAAAAAAAGTTTATGCGGAAAATAATTAATAAAAGAATTATTTTATTACTATTGGATTAGCTCTTGCGACGCAGCAACAGATACAAGGTGTGCAGCAGATAACAGCGGCTAGCGGTAAACCTACTAAGGTAATGGATATTCAACAACAGCAGTCGCAGCAAGGTAAACAGAGTGCGGGCGGACAGCGACCTTTAAGTATCCTGCCATCATCCTTGCAGGCAGTGCAGGCTGCCAATATACGCGCCGCTAGTTCCGTCTCTACGCAGACTGTTCACGGAGTACAAGCTACGGTACAAGTACAGGTTACTATATTAACGTTAGCACACAATAATCGTTATGATTATTTTGAGTGCTATGAAATAGCTTATTTGGTCGATTGCATTGGCAACGGAGTTACCTAGAGAATTATATATTTATTAGCATAATAGTAAAACTAATAATAATGTTAATAGAAAAATAATGTTAATAGAAAATTATTATATAATATTGTATTTATCAAAATATTCAGAGCGGTAAGAGCGGCGGCGGTGGGGGGAAAGGCCGCGGCAAGCCGATGCAATCTCCGCAGCAACAGCAACAACAGCAGCAGCAAACTCAACAATCGATACAGCATCAGCAGGTCTTCATACAGCAGAAACAGCATACGCAGCAACAGCAGCAGCTGCAACAGCAGTATCAGCAACAAGTGCAGTCCTCCCAACAGCAAATACAACCTAAGCCTATTATGAGTAAGAACATTCGTCTAAGTTAGTATTTGAATGATATTTATATTTAATTTTCTAATAATATATTTAATACGTTGATTGTCGAAATGTGAAATTCATCGATTGTCTCGCAATGCCGTAACTTGTAATTTTTAAATGCCGGGTTGCAATATTCGACGGTTGTCAACGCGTTAATAATATTATCACGAATAGTGTAAATAATATTTAAAAATATTCAAACGTGTGAAAATTTTTATTACGTAGCGAATATGACACTGCAACAACAGCAACAATCTGGTGTTGTTTTGGGCACAGATCGTCCCATTATGCCGGTAGTTTCGGTAGGTAGCGTTGGAGTTGGAGTCGCTGCCACTTCACAAATGAATCAAATGCCGCAGCCTCAGATGTCGACAGTACAACAGCTTCCTTTACCGGTACTAATCGATAGGCTATATGTCTAAATTACTGATTACACTTTCGTGTGAACATTCTTCTCAAAGTACAAATAGAGAAACATAATTAAATGATGAAATATCTTTACTTCTTTAGGCTATCAATCCGACGATAATAGGTAATCAAATAGTGAATGGAGCGTCGCAGGTTCAAGCGATGCCGATTGTGAATGCGACCCAGGATCAGCCAACGCACGATAACACCAATCCGGCTATAATGATCACGTCGCCAGACCGTAATCCACAGGCTGAATGCTCCCTTATACTGCCATCCACTACGAATATTGCTCCAATGGCAACTGATGATAGTGTAAAATTAGGTTTGAAGAAAGAAGACATGCCTGTGCTTACGGAAGAAGTTGCAGCGACAGCACCTCAGATAGAAGTAACAGGTATCTAATCAATCTCTTATTAATAAATGACAAATTCACCGAATTCAATCGTATAAAATAAAGATACAAATTCTTGGCATACGTGTAGACGGAGATCAATGTAAGACGGCGACGACAAAAGAAGAGGAAGTGATTACTCCAAAGATGGAAGAGAAACAGTGCAATAACCCGTTAGCGGGTCTTGCCAATGCAGTCAATGCGATTACGAATGGTGTCATCGGCGATGAGTCACCGAATATGGCGATCTCGACCCCACTCACAGTGAATAATAAACAAGCACCACCTAAAGCTATGGTGAAGCCGCAGGTCCTTACCCATGTGATAGAAGGATTTGTGATACAAGAAGGTGTGATATTTGTGATATAATTGCATTTTCATCTTTCTCTCCCTCTCTCTCTCTCTTTCTCCCCTTCTCATACATTTCTTATATTAAATTTTATTTCCACACTGCGGTATGAGATGCAAACATTTTTCTTTTCATCTTTGTTGCAGCATCAGAACCGTTCGCGGTAAGTCAGGAAACTACCAATATCCTCAATCGAAACAACACAGCTGTGGAGAGGGAAACTCACGAGGAACCTCCGAGTAAGTAAACTATTTTTGTGAGTGATCAACACTATATGTTTTAAATCCATATTTAACGCAAAATTTAAATTGTGTGTGTGTATATATAGAGAAGAAACATTGTTCTAATTATTCGAATGAAGAAGATGGAGCCAATGGACAAGTCAGTAAGTGCGAAAGCTGTGGCAATGCAGTTGATGAACAGAATGTCAAGCTCAAGAAAGAGAAACGGTTCTGCTCATCAATGTGTGCAAAGAGGTGAGCGCCATATCTTGTATATTAATAATATACAGCAAATGAATGTTTTGTTCAGTTATATTTTCGTAAATATTTGTTGCAAATAATACTCTTATAATGAAATGAAAACTATGTCGTGTCTTATCTGCAGTAAAAAACGGGAAACGCGAGATCGCGATGGTATGGAAAAACAGTGGACTGAGATAGAGACTGAAACTAAAATTGTCGATAATGACGTGGCGAAGAAGAACAGTGAAGAGAGGTCATTATCTACAACTACCACTTCTTCTACCGATGAATCACTGCCGAAAGTAAATCCAGTTAAATGGACGGTAATTAGATATTTTGATATCTTTATGTACCTATATCTATATCTATATGATACGAGATATACATACGCATGAAAAAAAATTAGTTTAACACAAGCAGCAAAATTATTAAAAATTATGTGTATTTTTTATGCATAGGTGGGTGAAGTGTGTGATTTTATACGTGGTTTACCGGGGTGCGCCGATTACGCAGAGGACTTTGCTATTCAGGAAATTGATGGTCAAGCTCTTATGTTGTTGAAGGAGGATCATCTCATGTCGGCCATGAGCATCAAGCTAGGTCCTGCGTTAAAAATCGTCGCCAGGATTGATTCAATGCGCGTGGAATCGATGTCGAACTCCAATCCTACATCGAACAATTCATAATCGTTTACCTATTAGTAGCAAAGCGACCGTTTTCCAGAATGTTTCTAGCCTACGGGCTACAGGGTTTGTGCAAGTATCCGATTTTCAAATATAAGCTTATAAGATTAGAATTTTTCAATGCTACCGTACTGTAAGCGATTTTCATGCTGCACATGAAATAATTCGTTAAACTTTCAACATTTATGAGAGACTTTTCGTTTAGCACGATAGCTACAGTACAAACTGTAAAATGTATTTTTTGTAAAATTATTTTTAAGCAAATCACGGCGAATCGGCAGCAATATCTATTTTTAATTTAGACTGTATGGACGAATATATATATATGTGTGTATATGTGTATATATACACATCCACACCAACACACATACACAAACTGCGTACATAGATACATATGTATGTAGATAATGTCAATGTTCCATTACCAAATTATAAAAATTATTTTGCATCTCAGAAAAAAAAAAATGCCACTGGTTTCTTGCCATGTTTAACAGCTGTAAAACAACTATCTAAATTAACAGAAGGCAATGTATTTTCTACGTTAAGTGGAATTGTTTATATTATTGAGTACGAAATACAGCATACATCTTCGTTTTTTTATATATATAATATACATTCTTTGCTGTATAATGGACATGATTTGTACTCTTGATGGTTCCACCTATAGCATATTTTCCAATAGTGCAGTTTGAAAAAATATTCGTAGACATTGTATGTGTTGTGTGTATAAATATGACTTTATATAAAATGTTTTATATTTTATTTCACAAATGTTCTATCGCTCATTATGTATATGTCATTGAACATTTGTCAGTATAGATTTCATTTCAGAATTATGTGCTATAATTAAATAAATTTTATGTGCTTAATATAATACTATTATTTTGAAGATTATGTATTTTCAATTTAATTTTTTATTATTTTTTGAAGTTTTTATTTTCGTTTCTTGCGTAAGAAATAAATGTATAAATGCTACCACTTGGTATAGAAAATGCGTCGTCTTCTTTATAATTTACAGACAGTAGCTTTGCAACTGTTAAATATGGCTAAAAATCTGGTATTTTTTTCTTAGATATCTTATGCAGAATGATAATTTTTATAATTTGGTAATTGATGATATTGATCTACATAGATATATATCTGTGTACGCAGTCTGTATTATATATGTGTATATATAATTTTCCTTTTCTTTCTTAAAATTTTTGACTATATATTTATTTTTCATGCGAAGACCGAATTCAATCGAAAAAATATCTTCAAAATAATATTATATTAAGCACATCAATTTTATTTAATTATAACAAATAGTTTTGAAATGAAATTTATACTATCTAATGTTGAATGATGTATAATGAGCCATACAATATTTATGAAACAAAGTATAAATCATTTCATTTTATATATATATTCATATATACACATATATCATGTCTATGAATGTTTTTCCCAAAGTGCACTATTGGGAAATATATTATAAGTGGAACTGTCAAGAGTACAAATCGTGTCTATAGCAAAAAATATGTATTTAAAAAGCAGAGATGTATTGCTATATTGATAATGCTATATTTGAAAAACTACTGCTTATTGTCATTCGTCGTACTTTCGTAAATATGATTATGTTTTCGTAAATATAAGTTGTGTACTTGACCGATACATGTGTAAATAGTAGACATAAAATTTTTATTTAATATACAGATTTCGCATAAGACAACATCTTAAATTGTTGCTGACGATTGTCCTTCCATTATTCTTAAACTAATGAAAGGAAAAAAGTAATTATATATGTAAAAGTTTATATTTCTGTCGTTAGCGGTATAATATTATGATGATAAAGTAATAAGGCAAAAAGGATTGTTACTATTTTTAGTAAATATCTTATTAACTATTATCTAAATGATATAACATAGAAAAACCCATTTGATAAAATTTTCGAAATATTATTAAAAAAATATAACATTGAAATATATCATGCCCTTGAAATTCAATGTAAATATCATATTCATTATGCAAATTCATATAATTATTAATTCTGAAAATAACTAGACAGATTGCTGTTTTTATATATTTTTTGTAGGATTAATTAGTTTTATATATTTCAGTATTGTGCAAAACACAGATGCGAGTGTATTAAATTTAATAGGACTCATTATGTTTGAATTAAATGGTGATTTGCTATGCATTTTATACAAATGTTAAATGTAAGTAGATGTGTTTTCTTATGCGTAAGAGAATCTTAGCGGAGGAAGGCATGTTTGTATATAATGCTCAGAAACATCAGATATCATCGAGTTTATCCCGCGCCCTATTTATGTCTATTAATAGAAAATAGAGTATATATAATGCAAGTTATATACATTTTCTTAACCATTGTATAAAAGTTTGCATTTTACTCATTATATAAAAATTTTTTGTGTTAGGTTCGGTTGCACCAATAATATGTTAATTTATTAACTTAAATTCAGAGAATAATCTGTTATTCCCTTCCAGATTGAAATGATTAAAAAGTTTCTTTGCTTTATGTCTCTGATAAAGCAAAAAAAGATTCTGGTTAATTTGATGCACATAATGTAGATAAAACAAGGAAATTTAATTAATTAGTGCTAACTGGAACTGGTGCAATCGTTCCTTGGCAAATATAAGTCTCGTGAATGTTAAAATTCAATACAAACTCAAGGTTCAAAATTTTGCACCAATCTCGACGAAGATAACTCAGGGCCCCAAATGTTTCACAATACATATATACTTTTTATACAATAGAGAAAGAAATAAACTCTGCTGGCATAAAACTTAACATTATTATTATTATGCATTGGGGAAAAAAGCAGGGGTGAAAGTAATTACAATTGCAACTTCTCAGATGAAATAAATATAATGACTAGTCTATTCATTTCATAGAATACTTTTATGTAATATAACTCAAATCTTTTCTTTTGATATTTGACATTTTTTATAAATAATTTTTTTCTTATACAGTTTTTCTAAAATCGATAGTTTCTTACATTTAATATAATTTTGAAAGATTGCATGTTATATTAATTTTTTATAAGTAACTTGAAACGGTACTCAAGATGTGGCAACGTTATAGTTATTTATGATAATAAAATTAATAATAAAATGCAATTCTCATTATATTATTTATCAAGACTATATTTATTATATGAAATAGTAATGTACGCACTGTGTCGGGTTTATTTACAGATTCCCTAAGCATACTCTAAGTAACTCTTGATTTTATATTACACAAAGCCTGTAATATGTATACGTAGTTTATTTACAGTACACAAGTATTTCTTATCCTTGGAAGTACATTGTTTCATATTATCTCTTTCATATATCTAACTTTTCTATTTTTCCTTCAATTATATATCAAAGAGATCGCTTATATTAGCTAGCTGCGCAACATTGTATGATTCTATACTTCTATGCTTCTACCTTCAAGCAGAAGCTCATCCTGAGCCAATTTTTTCTGTGCCAATTGCAAAGGTCGAATGTATCGAAAGTATTCATATACTTTATAACCGAGGAGAAGGCTGCTGACTGCTGTGATACCAATGCAGGTATTTACAAAGCCTCTCTGAAACTTGTTGTAGATTCTCTCCTTTCTCCTTCTTCTCTGAAAACTCGGGTCCATTGTACGCTGTTTGTTTACTCGTCGACGAACTTCTCCTTAAAATTTATTAAATAAAAATATCACGGCATCACACTTGCAATAGTAATATTTTCGTTCTTTTATAGAATGATAAATAACCTCATAAATTCAGTCTAAAATACCAAAATATATCTACAATTTTGTTAGATTTATATGTAGTAAGATAGCGCACCTAAAAGAATGTCTATTATTTAGCTCTTCTCGACTGATAGATATTTCTCTTCTAATCAGCTTTTTAATTCATGTTTGTGAATTAAAACACACTGATATTGATATTGTGCCGCATGTGCGATAGTGTCACGATTTTCCACTGTATGGCGCTACAGTGATGGTATGACTTTTTTTACGAAGCTAATTTTATCAAAATTATGCCAAATATAAAGAATTTGCACAAATGTGAGATTAAGATTATTATGTCGATTTATTTAAGCACGATACAATATTAAAAAAATTTAACAAAATCTTTTTTTCTCGTATCTACACATTTATACATACGAGTTTCTGATCGGGATCAAAATCGGGTTCTCTTTAATCAAAGCGTTGAACAATACATAATACAATGACAAAATATACTTATATCTACGAAATGATTATATAAAGTTCTAATAAATTTAAAAACCAGTTTATAGGCATTGATATATATACAAGATTCTGGAAGAATTCATCTGGTAATTTTTTCGTTATTTTTACAAGTCTTTTTATATTAAAAAGCTTGAATTGTCCGAGTCACAGCCTTAATATCTAATTATAAGAAATGCAGTCGAAGATTACATTTCATTGCATATAATTTCATCTTAAAATGAAGATCATAAGTTTGTAATAATGCACGCACTCATGATTTCTCCTCTACTTCTAATTTTCTAAAAATTCATCAAATATCTTGGAATCGATGTCTAACACTATTTCGTCCAAAGATGGGCCTTGTGAAGAAACTGGCAGCTCTAGATTTACAATAGATAAATTAATAGATTCACATATCTTTCTTTTTGGAAGAAATATAAGAATAAAAACATACTCGGTATAGATCCAGTTGCTTTGTATTCTTCAAGGTCCTCTTTGAAAGCTTCTTCAAAGGTCTCCCGTCGTTCCTTCAATTTTTTTTGTTGGTTTAATTCATGTTGAGAAACTCTCTCAATGTGTTCTTTACCAAGTTTCGCTAAAAAAAAAAAAAAAATTATATTAAATAATAAAAAATTATTAGCAGTTCGTACGAAATGCATTACATCACATAAAGTACCTTTGAAATCATTTAATTCTATCAATCTCTTTTCTTTGTATAAAGCTAATTGAAATCTATGATCCAGCTGTCTACTTTGCAAATCTAACATTTCATTCAGATCTTCCAATCGATACAAAGCTCCTTCAACTTCTTCAAACATTTCTTGTAAATTTCCTTAGAAGCATATAATAAAAATCATAGTTTTAGAAAAATTCTCGTTTTTGTTGTATCTTGTTATGTTCATCTCTAAAGCCAAGCTACCTATTTGGTCCATGAGATCTTGAATTGCATTGTTAATCTTCGGAATATAGGCTAAAGTGCTGTTTAAACACGTAACACTGTTCCATTCGTGTTCAAGCTTGTCATAAATAGAAGATATCAGTGTATCAGCTTCCTGAGCCCTTCCCGCATTTTCCTCTGCAAGCTCGTGAAGCTCATTCCATTGTAATTGGAAGTGATGCAATATATCTGCACCTGCATTGTAATTTACATTTCGTACATTGACGAACTTTTTGCTCTTTGGATGTTCAGTAATTGATAGACCCCGTATACTGAAATAATTATTTTTAATATCTTTAATTTCTTTCTAACTTGTCATTGTGCTTATATTATTTCTCTTAGTCTACACAATGCATAATTTTTGCCAATTATAATTTATGTTTTGTGAGTGATACTATTATCCATATTAAATTTGCATAAGAAATAAGAGCAGGCAGTATATCAAATGTAAATACTTTTTTACCTAGCAGATATACCTTCTTGCACTGTCTGAAACTTGCTACGTAGTGATCCAAACATATTTTGTTCGTAACAAACATTCGTTATTAACTTCGAATGCGCTATCAAATATGTCTATCTACAATGGACAACAGTTATTTTAATTTTCTCTTACAGACATTGTGTAACAAGTAAATATTTTCTACATTTTCAAATATTTCTAGTTTTTCTATATTAGATAAAGAGAGTTTGTTTTTGTATGACGCAAACTATAATTTATATAATTGTAATCTTAATTATATGTTTCCATATATAATTTATACAATTTATTCAAAATGCAACTACAATTATATCTGACAATTATATCTTAATTATCAATGAATTATGTCAATTATATTACAACCAAACCTATCAATAAATGTGATATTGACTATATTACATCACGAAATTTAATTTGTTCAACAACAAATGTTGCTCTCATCACAATATATAGCAATTTTATGAAAAATCTTCATTGCATATGTATTATTACGTATTTTAAATCATTACAAATTGTTAGTCAAAAACACAGAATAATAAAGAAATTTTATTTACACTTATTTCGAATTTAAAATGAAAAAAAAAAAAACATTACACAAAATAAAGGTTGTTTTTACCAGTTTTTTAAATTACTGATTAGCACATGATTGATGTATCATAACTCACAACAATGTTGAACTGTTCGAAACACTCGCAATGTTTACAAAACAATGCTCTCAGCATTAACCATTACTCAATAAGAATGAATCCTCTTTTAGGAAATTGTTAGAATTCAATTAACGGAAGAACGTTATTTTTGTGGGTGTAAAATGTCATAAAATGTACATTAAAACCGGACAAGAAAAAAAGTCAATGATATTCTATAACTTTGTTGGTAATTTAGCTCACCGTCGCGATATCAATGCATGGATACCACGAATATGGGAGTGATTGTAATTATGAAAGCATGATCTAGATGGAAGCACGGCAGGGTTCGATATTGGCGGCTTCTTTTCCACACAGTTTGTGGTGAATTAAAGATCTTTATTATCACTTTATTACAATGATGCCAGAATTGAGACGCGAGCAACACGACTCCGTACTGGTGGGGATACACAAACAAGCGTAAACCGTGTACATGTAATGCGCAGAGCGCTCTGCGCATTACACGTACACGGTTTACGCTTGTGTGTGTATCCCCACCAGTACGGAGTCGTGTTGCTCGCGTCTCAATTCTGGCATCAGTGCTTTATTATCAATTGGAAGGTAAGTTTTTCATTAACTTCTTCCGACGATTAATATGATTGCTTAAATACAAAGATTCCCAAAGATTTTTCAAGAACAACAGTATTGACCGAATGAAATTTTACATGTTTGTAGTATATGCCTGTATTAAAGCTTTTTTAATACGTGTAAAAAATTTAATCTGGCTAGCAATGTTGTTTTCTCGTCAAATTTGTCAATAAGTTCTAATATATGCAATATTTCATAAAAAAGAAATACAATCGTAAAAATTAAATAACTTTCAAACTAATAAAAAAATTATGCAGAGAATTATATCTTGGACTATAAACTTGTACGCTTTTATCAATGTTTTAATATATGACACATACATTTTAAAAGAGAGATTGAACTTTACTCGATATATTTTTATGATATATAAGATTTAAATTAAACAGTACAAAAAAGACTTGATGATTAAAATAAATGATAATAATGAATGAAATAATAAATAATAAATGAAATAATAAATTGTTTTATTTATGAATTTTTATAAATAATTTTGTTTATTTTTTTTATTATATTTATTTAAGTTGGAAATAATTCAAATAAAGAATAGAAACGTAATTTTTTTCATATTTTATTTTAGTTGTTAAAATACAACTTATTTGATTTCGCTTTATCGTATGTATTTAGCTCGAATAACTTTTTTATTCTGTAATTTAAATAATTAAATAATGAAGCATAAAATTAAATACCGCGAAATACAGTCTAATAAAAAAAATATTACTCAGAGCTTCGTGTACTTTAACGATGGCTTTTAATGATATTATCATTTATGAAGTTAATCATCGTCATTACATTGAAGTTAATTATCTTATCGTATATTGAAGTTAATTATCTCATATTTGATATGATCTTTGCCGATTGAGAGATATAAGCGCAGATTTGTGATAGCATTCAAATTGTTAATATAAAAAAGTCTTCCAGTTCTATCTTATTACTTGCATTGTCAAAATTATGTAATCTTCCCCTTAATTAATTTTGAATCGTCCAATTAGAAAATGTTAAAAAAACATGTTGTTAAATCCTACTAAACTTCCGTATCCTAATAATAATTTGAGATTCGTACTTTTTTTATAAACCTCGATAGCATTAATTCTTTGGAAAACTAATATGTACTTTAATTTAATTAATTTTTCATTTCATTCAAAAAGATAATAAAATACATAGAAAAATAGAGAAAGGGGAGGAGGAAGAGAGAGAGAGAGAGAGAGAGAGAGAGAAGGGAAGGAAAAGGGAAGAAAGAGAGAGAGGAAAAACGGGCAGTGGATAGAAAATATATGTATAATGCAAATTATTATTTTTACATAATTTTGAATAATTATGTAATTGCATTTATATAAAAATATAACTTCAGATAACGCACACACAATCTCATATATGGTTTCGTTACTCGTATATCAAAAACATGATTATATACGCAAATGTTTGTTTTTCCCGTTTATAATACAATATATAACAGAATAAGTATTTGCGCGATAATTAAAATTTTAGAACAGAACAAAATATATTTCATAGTGTAGTATAAGATTTTTTATAAGATTGTGCTATTTATTTACAAGAATGACATTTGTTGCTGAAAAAATAAGATTTGTTACGGAAAAGGAAAAATGATATCAAAGCAAGCAGAAGTCAAATATGTTAGCTTATTAATTATTACTAAATATCGGAAAAAAATATTCGATGGAAATATTGTGAAAAATTAACTAAAGCTATATTCCAATGCAAAAAATGTTTATGTATTACAATATATAAAAATATATAATTTTATGAAATTATTATAATATGTAATAATATATTTTAATCAAGTATAAAAGATATTATGAGGTTTATGAAAGACTGTATCAAAAAGATAATTATCCAATATAATTAGTAATTTGAGATGGTATCTCAAATTATTAATAAAAAATTAAATAATAAAGTAAAAAAGATTATATAGGGTTTTATAATTATAAATTTGTTATCACACATATCAGAGGAGAAAAAAATACAGTGAGATGAATATTTAATTTATCAATGTATGTAATGTGTAAGTCAAGTAAGAAAGAGAGAGAGAGAGAGAGAAAAGTGTGAGGACTATGACTTTCTATATTTTATGTACGTCAAAAATAATTCGCCACTTTATGTGATAAATCACTCGAAGTTAATTATTAATTACGCAATCATAGCGAACATGATTAAATATAACAGATCAACAAAACATCATATATTAATTGAAAATGCATATTAGATATTGTATGCTTTGCTTTCTTAATAGTATAATTTGCATAATTCATATTGCATTACATCATATGTAGTTTTGTGATTCTAATTTGAGCAAGAAGCAGGAGAAGAATCCGACAAAACCAGCTTGTGCATTCTATTATCCGGGAATATAAAAGCTCATCTTTCTTACTCGCACGCTCTTACATTTTCTATGCAAAATATGTTTTTATGAAATATTGAAAAAAGGAAACAAAGAAAGATAGAGTATAGAAAGATCATCAAATTTTGTTTAGATACATTCTTTATATTTTATTTCCTTCCTCCGTTGTTTCCTCTAAAAGTAAAACATATGTATATATGTATATATTATATAATTTAATGTGAAAGATAAAAAGATATAAAAAATTCCAGCTAGCAGTAAGAAGAATAGATCTATAGTCAGCATTAAAACAGATAAATTATGTAACGTTTTTTAAAGCTAAAGAATTTCAAATAAAAATTTATATTTGAAACCTCATAATCATAGTTTTCGAACGTAGTTTTTTCAACGACAAAATTACTTCTCTACTTTTATAGCTTCAATTAATTTTTATTTCTGTATATGTCAGTACAAAATTGTTGAAATGTTAAATATATTAATGTATTCGCCAAAGTAAAAGCAAAAGTCAATATTTTCATGATTGTTATCCATATATACATATATGAATATATAACTTTTCAATATGAAAACAAAAAACATTTCAAAGAAAAACAACTATCAATTGTACGATTAATTATGCCTGTTTTGCGCATAATTGACCGATTGTCCCGTTCACGATGTCAGTAATTCTCAACGCATTGAACCGTCAGTTTGCTGGCTGGCTGGCTGGCTGACTGGTTGGTTGTTGGTTGGCTGGTTGGTTGATTGCGTCGTGTTGGTTGGTTCGTTCGCAAACAATTTGGCAACGTCGCAAAAGCTTAACCCCTTCTCCTCCCCTGCTTTGCGGTACCACGCCGATGCGACTAGTGCCTAGCAACCAGTGAGGTCAACAAACGAGATCAAATTACGAATTAACCGCACTGCGAAAGAAAATATCACGACCACATTGCTGATGATCTAAATCTAAATAATCGTATATTCCCACATCAATTATCCTTCGAGTAGCATTAAATCCTCACTGTTCATACAAGAAAAAGAAAAACGGGCGTGTCAAAGAGAATTGTTTACAGGGTTTGAAGAAGAAACAATTTGCGTCTTTTTTTTCGATAACTAACTTTACTAACTACTCATCACAAAAAGTAATGTATCATATATCAAGTTTAAAATATAGGAAAAACTTAAAGATAAAAAACAGAGAATTTTATTTTGTTACATTACTTGTGCAAGTTCTATATTATATATATTCAATACAAAAACAAGTATTGAGAAATGTTATTTATGAAATTTGAAAAGGTCCGAGATCACATGGGTAGGTAGGTCTAACAGTGAAATATAGTGCTCACTAATAGATACCATCGTGTCTTTATAGCTGCATGGCTATAAAGCGAAGGTAAAAAAATGAGGAAAACAGGTACGTAACACGAAGAGAGCCATTGTGTATCCGGAGAAGAGGGATAGAGAAGAGAACAGAGAACGAAGGTGGAGGGATCGACTCAAAGCGAGCCGCAAGTGTATTGGTATAGATAAACATGTAGAAGTTCTTCTAGGTAGATATGTGAATAGATGCCTCTCTGGGGTGGACGGAAGAGGGGATGCAGGAGATATAGATGAATATCCCCCGCTACGTTTTCAAGCATTCTCTCTCTGTCGAGTCTGGTCGTTTCTGATGTTCCGTCACGCAGAGTGAGATGAGGGCAAGCAAGCGCACCAGCAACAGCGGCGACCGATTGACCAGCAACACAGCGATGCACAGGCGCAGTACGAGCGTGGAAATTTCCAGTGCTATTTCGCCTCTGCAGCAGCAAAAGTAGCGGGGACATAAATGAGAGAGAGAGAGAGAGAGAGAAAGAAGAAACGCTATTATTTTTTATTGCGCTTTTTGCAAACGCATTAACTCACGTCGCGATTGAGTAATATTGGCTTGTTATTCGTTTATTGCATTCGCGTTGGCTATACAGATTCACATTCGGCTATATGTTATGCTGAAGCATTGCCTCACGTTATTGTCCTGCAAAACGTTATGGGAATACGATATGCACATATCATATTGCAAATATAGATAATGGATACATAGACAACTTCAATCCATATAATTTTTCAATTGTAAGAGATATATTATCTTGGATTGCATACATATAGTAAAAATGTTAATATTTATTAAATATTATTTTATTCATGTGTGCGTTTTGTGTGTGCGATACAATAAAACAAATATTGCGAGTAGTTTTTATGATAGAATATGACGTCCTTTTCCGATATATAATACAGAACAAGAGAAAATTTAATCCATTTTAACGGGCTTGCAGTCCGGATTCGATGGTTTGTTTTGTGTCGCTTATGCTTACAATTGCATTAATATCTATTTAACAATATAAATTGTCTGAATGCATTAGGACATATTACAATCATATGAAAAATGTCAATCGAAACTATTACGTAAACTCGCCATAGAATGGATCGTACGTAGAACGTGCGCAGCGACGGGAAAAAAGGTCAGAAATTTTTGCGTTGAGATGCCGAAGAACTTTCACGAAGCTTTCAGAATAAGTTTGAACATGTTATAAGACGCAGCATTGCGGCTCCGGATAACGAAGCGCTATCGAGAACCGGCAGCTTTTTTTACTTTCCTTTTCCCTCTCTAACCAAGTGGCGAAACTTGAACAAAACTCATCAGGAGGGAATCGAGCTTAGAAAGTTGTGCGCAACTCGTAATGAAACTGGGCTTGAGGAGAGGTAATAGAAGGGAACGGTGGGTCAATGTACGTCACGGGATGTCTCCCATCTCTCTCTCTCTCTCTTTCTTCTCACTCTTGCCATTTCTGTACCCAAGTTACGCCGCTACTATATCGTGGTAATCTCGCCTGCTCCAAGAAGAGGATTACTCTCTCTGCGCGAACTAACACGGTCGTTGCGCATACTAGTACGGAGTTTCTAACCATAGGACGGGGGAGTTATATAGGCGAAGTGGGAAATGAGAGGAATCGATAGTCAAGTATTTCGCGGAATGTGAATACCGGCGGCAGCCGGATGCATATTTGCCCATCCAATTGCATGCAGCTTGCAGCATTACAACGCAGAATCGACGCAATTACAGCTGGCTGGCTAATTATACGTTTTCATTAGCTTTTATAGAGAGGACGTTTACTATATTAATTTACATTAATTAAACGTTTATTATATTAATTTTTATTAATAGGCATGCAGCATAGTGTTCGATAAGTTTCGTATCGCCGTAACGTAAAATATATGAGACGAACAAATGGTATAGTGCTAATAGCTTTTCTATGCAATTAAGCACATTCTGTAAACAAACGAAGCGTCGTGGCCTTCAGCCGTAATGACTCCATTCTTCTTTGATAGTTTGTTATTCATTGCAAGTAATGACATTATTCGTTCGTTTGTTACGCGGCGTAGATTCATTTCATATTGCACATATAGGACGCCCTGATTAACGACAACTACTTTCAAGATAAGTCAACCATAACTCTAAGAATATACTTTTTTTCAACTAATTTACAAACTCGCTGTTTTTCCTATGTCCGAGACATACAAATGATGAATGCGAAATAATTATTCTACTTGTCCCGGTTCCCGGGGCTTTCCATTTAAATCTACCAAGTAGAGCTGTGTCGCTAATGGTTAAATATAGAATCCCGGTATTGTGCTATTTGAATATCTCAGGACCGAAATCCGTTACGATCAATAGACTCGGTAGATTCGGCCGTTTTCGACATGTTCCGTTAAGTTCCCCCTACTATATTCGTCCTCAGCGACCTCCATTACCAGCCACGCCTCACTCACGTAAACTACGTTAGCCAAACCGGTTATTCGAGTTTATCGTTATTTCAATTGTACTATTCAAGCTCATAGTTTTCTTAAATGCGTTTCATGCTGATACTAATATTACGCGATACGCACATATTTTTAGTTATAGCCAAATTGTTTTTTTTTCCAATTTTCTTAATATTCTTTTCTTTAATTTTCTTTGTGTGCGTGCTTGTGACATTACAAAAAAAGAACAATATATAATTAAATATAAAAGTCATATTACAATAGATATAAAAATTTACAGTAATATTCCTCTATAGTATACTATAGCTTCGCTTGAAATAGTAACTTAAATCGATATATTGATGAGGATGGGGGGAGAAGCCATGTTTTGCGACGTAGTAATAAATTTTGCAAGATTGAGCTTAGAGGTTCAATTACAATAGGATACAAAGCACGATAAGTTTATCATGACTATCTCTGAAATAGCTTTGAGAATTGCCTAAATTGTCGGTTGAATTTTGTAGTACGACTATCGATCGATATACGTATATATAGAGTTCACAATGGCTATGTGGCGGTATGTCAGAGAGGAAACGAACCGCTTCAATTCCTATAGAACCAGAAGAACGGTCGCAAAATTATGGATATAAATGTCGGCAGTGCTTTTAAGTACAATGGATGACAGGTGGCAATTGGATAGCTGGCGTTGACGATTTCGCTGGGAATTGCATGGAATGAGGGATTTGGTCGAAAGCTACGGTATTTGGAAGAGTGAGTGCGAGTAAGAAAGAAAAAGAAAGAAGTGGGGAAGGATGAGAGGAAACTTGATAGAAAAGGATGGCACAAAGGTAGAGAAGCGAGAATATACGGGAGAGAGGAAAGAGAGGATGGCGAGGGACGTGGAATAGTTTAGCGGACTGCGCCTGCGTCGCGAGCGACCGCTATCGCTCATTGGTTCCCCACTCACATTTGAGTGCACACTAGGTTGACTTAATTTCAATTCGAACTCCTTCCACAACCGCTTTCTCTCCCGTTGCGCTTCTCTCTCTGTCTCTTCGCTTCATCTTCTACTCGCTGTCCTTTATTCACATTCGGTATCATATTTTACTTTTTTATACTTGTTGGGTTCCACGCAAAGAAAATATACATACACGCATGCCACGCGTGTATAAGGATACAAGATGTATCAAGCATACAGCGACCCTCCAATCGAGAGCCGTAGCAAGAGAAATGAAAGGGGCAAGGGGCAAAGGGGAAAGTGCAAGAGAGCAAGAGAAATAGAAGGGGGGAAAGAAACAAATGGTGGGAGATGGAAGAGAGAGGAGAGAAGCAATAATCCCGCCATCTGCTGCAAGAGCGAACGACGCACGCTACCCCACGATCGCGCGCGCGCGCGCGCGCGCGCGTTCTTACGAAACAGCGCATCTGAACGTTCTGAACTCGTCGCTGAACAGTTCGGTGCTTCAACAGTTCGGCACCGATTCGTACCGAGTTGATTATCCTGCTGTTCGCGCGCGCTTGCTCGCTCATCCGCGTCTTTCGTCGCCGCCATATTAGCAACTTGAGATATATATATATATATATATATACCACGTACTAATAATAAGTTCAGATTACGTGTGACTAGTAGTAAGACGACAAATCACAACCGCGGCCACCATCGGAGATTGCGCATCTAACCGTCAAGAATTTTGCTCAAATCAAAGTACAATTCGACGAGTGTAGTAGTACTGTATACATGAGCGACCAGCAGTGATCAAGCCATAATAATGTCAGCCATGTTTAATCATATATAAGAGAAAGCCCCTCCCCGAGGGAAGCGCGGGAGTATGATTGTACTCACGCTAGCATAAAACCGACAACAGGAGGGATCGACTAATACGGCGTACCTAGTTACTCTCACGCAAAACGTAAAAGAAAAGAAGAACATCGCCGCAATCCACGAGATCCAAGAGAACCGATTTCCCCCGCCTATATCGCCCGGTGCGCGCCAAGAAGATACAACACTAACAAACGCGCGTGTTTAATTGATTTTACCTACCGCTGAACAGTGAATTTACCGATTCGTAGCGTTTTAAAGCAATGTCAAGTTGCCGGTGTGTATAATCTATCGTGATCAACATCTCATGTTCCGATCTTGCGCATCTAAATCCGTCGCATTCATCTACGTGACTAATAAAGCAGCTATTCGCTCTTGAATTGAGACTCGATGCGAGACTCCGAGTTGGTTCGGTAAAAATTACGATTCGGTAAATTACAATCCGTGATAATACGATATCGTGTTGCCGATTAGTGTGCCCGGTGGAATTTTAACTTCGGAATTCAATTAAGGATAAACCGATGTTGACGATTTTATGACAATTCACATTGTTGATAACAATGCCTGTAAGTATGACGCATGTTGCAACATATAAATTTATGCGTGAAGATGATGAATAAAGAAGAGAATTATAAGTCGTAATAAATATGAAATAATTATTTGTTTATTTATGTCGGATCAATGAACCTACGCGTATTGAATATAACGATTGGATATTGAGACAAATACAATTTTCTGCATCTTTTATTAAAACTGATATTTTTATTTGTTTGCAGATTGGAAATGAACAATCCGCTGGATCACGATTTTGAAACATTTAAATTTTCTACGCAAAATAAGATCTGTAAAGACGGCGCTGTGGAGCTGTTACAAAATTTCGGTATGTGTTTGTATAACAATAATAATTGTATAACAATTGTGTAACAATTCTATAACAGACTAATACTAATTCCAAACGTTATAATTGTGTAACATGAATTAGTATTATTAGTAAAATCATCCTTTCATGTATCACAGATCTTGAATAATTCTTTAAGAAAACGTTCAGTACAAAATAATTTATATGCAGTATATACCGCTTAAAGGTATTGCACTACTTATGGAAACAGGGAAGTCGTTATTTTAATAAGAACAAAAATATATTTAAATATTATTTTATTACTCTTACTTTATGCTTTAATATCATAAAAATTAAAAATTATAACAAATAATAGAAATATTGAATTTCTGATTCTCCAAAATAGCTTCCCTGGCCCTCTCAATCAACGGATCTTAATTCGATAGAACTATTGTGGGATGAACTTGATAGAAGTGTCCGAAAAATGAGACCGTAATTAAAAACAACTGCGAGAGTATTTGTAAATACGCTGGAATCAAATATCAATAACAACCTTAAAAAACTGTCAAGAATGCCAAGAGTATGTATGGTAGTGAATTTGATTGAAGCAATTGATTGCTTCGAAGATTGAAAGCAAAGAAAGGCTATTTTAAAGAACCAAAAATTTAATATTTCTATTATTATTTATTATAATTTTTGATTTTTACGATATTAAAGTATAAAGTAATAAAATATAATTTGGTAATATTTAAATACGTTTTTATTTATTAAAGTAACGAGACTTCCCTCTTTCTATAAATAATGCAATATTTTTAACCGGTACTGTATATTTGTTTATTACATAGATGTCTATTAGATGTCTAATATACATTTAATAAACATTTTTTTCGATTTGTACTTCTCACTGGGATTATGTCGTATTTTAATGAAAGTTATAAAAAATTGATTGATATATAAGATATTGAAGAATATTATCTATGAAAACAAATCAGCTAATAATATTACCAATATTACTGCTGCTTTTTCTATGAAAGTTATATTCTCTATTGAATCTAGATTCTTTATATTTGTATTACATAGTAATCATTATATTTTTAATTTTGTTTTCATCTTTTATCTCGTGTGACGAATCTCTTAATGTCTCTATCATTGACATATCAAGATAATGTTTATTTTATATAAGATGTAGTATTTTAGATGTTGTAAGCTTTTAGCCTTCTTCTCTAAGCCCTAAAATGACATAATTTCCGGTCAGAAATGTTTCCCGCATTGCCTGAAACTGTAATATCTAAACTTTAAGCGAGCTGATCAAATCCCAGCTTTTAAAGTTTACGACTTAAAAGTTTCGACCGATATAATTCTAAGTGCCGGTCTACAATAGGTGATTTAAGCCCTAAGCCTTAAGAAATTGACTAATCACAGTCGAGTATTCTTCTCATACTTGATTGTGATTCGTCAATTTCTTAAGGTATAGGGCTTAAATCACCTATTGTAGACTGGCACTAAAGGCCAAAGCCTTACTATACCTATTGTAGACCCGGCTTTAATAATTATTATTATTTTTGTGACTTGTATATAGAAATAAATACGCGAAAATTATTTGGGAAACAAAAAATTCTCTCGACTCTTCTGGCTATACAACGATGGCTATACAAGCTCGTGTCGGTTACAGGTTAGGAATTCGTAAACATGTGGCGCGTGACAAGAAGCGCGTGTAATGGTTTCGCGCGCGATAACGCCCTGTCGTACACATTCCACTTCGCAACTCACCTTTTTAATGTCTACGATACTTTGTTGGAATACTCGTTCATTTCGTTGATGAGATCCTAGTTTTCGCACACGGAACGTCCGCCATTCTTCCCATGGCATTGAAGCTTGAAGCGTTCTTCTTCTTCTTCGTCATGCAACATATATTTTTTTCATTATCTGTTCTTGTTTTTCCAAAATAAATCTTGAGAGGTAAAACATTTTTGCCTGTTGATGAAATTTCATTCGACCGTTCAATTCTGGTTTTTTTTTTCTCAAATTATATTTGAAAAGAGAGATGGAGATCCTCACACAATTAAGATCCGCTAAATCAATGCTGAGGAAATTAGAGTGCTTTTTTGCGCTTTCACGACCACGACTCGCCGCGATATTAAGATAGAATCACTGATGCCAGAACTGAGACGCGAGCAACACGACTCCGTACTGGTGGGGATACACACACAAGCGTAAACCGTGTACGTGTAATGCGCAGAGCGCTCTGCGCATTACACGTACACGGTTTACGCTTGTGTGTGTATCCCCACCAGTACGGAGTCGTGTTGCTCGCGTCTCAATTCTGGCATCATTGGATAGAATACATGGCGATGGACCAATCGGTGGCGGGAAATCGCGAGCCGAAAGGGGCCAATGTGGCGCGCGCTTTGGCCGCGTATCGATTGGCGAGTTGCGTTTTCAATTATTGACGAAAGGCAATTATTTTCATCCAAGGCGTCTGCTATTTTGCGCACCCGTTATCGCGACACCGCCAGTGAGTGAGACAAAATCGCGCGCATGGCTTTGTTTACATATCGTATGTAAATATACATATATATATACATATACATGTATGTACCGCCGCCGATGTAACGTGCATCTCTATTCTCTTGCGTATAACGTGTGCGCGAGAACGAACTTATGCGCTCGCGCACTACGGTTGAGCCGAGTGTCATTGCCGTGAGAACGGTTTTTGACAGAGGTGAAAGAAAACACGGCAGATCACGACCGAAAAATCAACGACCCGACTTTCTAACGGTTTATACACGTTTGTGTCGATAGGCAAGGACGTTCCCCATCGGTATTCGATCTTGAGTATGTAGCTATCTTTCTCTCTCTCTCTCTCTCTCTCTTTCTCTCTCTCTATCGTGCGTCTATACTTTCTCTCCCTCTCCTACCGCTCCGTATAACGATGTAACTTCTGCGCACCCAACAAACTCTTTACACGTACAAGAACGTAACACCGCGCGCGCGTGTAATGCATGCGCGCGATACGGCATTTCGGAGAGATATGTAACCTCCTTGGCGGGAGAAGTGTAAATGACGGCATCCATGCATTCTGTTTTAGACGAGCGTGCGGGCACTCCCAGCTCGCCGGATGACAGCTTGAGCGATCAGCAATTGTTGCTGGATTGCGGGATTTGTGGCCAGCAATTCGCTTCCAAGAAACAGTTGCGTACCCACATTCATACTCATCTGAGGAAACCTCGCATTGTCCTCAGGAGAGTGACTGGTCCAAAGGTAGTGAAGGTGAGAAAGCCGTGCGAAGACACATATTGGTTGGATCCTGAGAAGAAGGGTTTGCTGAAGCTTACTCTGAAGAAACAGAGCATCTCCGAGTCTCTGAAGCTTACATTGAAGAAATCTTCAGAGTCGGAGGATTTTACCGTAGTAAATAGTAATTTTAATCCAGTTATCAAGGACCATCAGCAAGGAGAAGTGGCAGGTGCTAAAGAGAATGATCAAAAAAATAACAAGACAGCGAAAGGTTCAGTTAATGAACCTTTTGAAAACGTGATGGTGGACCAACAAGTGAGTTGTTTTGTTGGTGCTAAAGTTGAAATCTTGTTTGTTTTCTATAACAGTTTTGTTTACAGGATGATTATGACAACATTAAATTTGATGAAGAAGATCATAATCCTTTGGAGGAGAATGAAAGACCATCCATAGATGTTAATGAGGGTGATTCTGGTGTAGGAAGTGATATGGTAAATCCATCTGAGAAGGAAGATCAAAATGTTGACGATATACAAAGTACTGATAACTATGACAATTCTGAGAAAAGGCTGTCAGAACCTGAGGATCACGAGGAGTCGGATGCTTTAGAAGCAACTTGTAGAGAAACTATTGAAAATTTGAAAAAACTCGGAGAGCAGTCGAAGTAAGTTGATAGATTATGACATCGGATAATACAAATTGCAAACATTTAAGATAAAATTCGGGATACCCTGTATAATTCATATTTACGATATCACGCGATTTACACGCCGACGTTTACATTTTAATCATTAAATATTTTAGTCGCAATTTTTTACAGTTCTAGATCAACAAATCAATTGATCGACAATTCGGCTGCTGAGGAAGAAGATGATAGAAACCATGATTCCGATATGATACATACTCTTGGACAGAATCCTTCCATCAGCATTATTCCAAAGTCTTCCACATTTTCCAATCATTCGACGGAATGCGACAACGAAAATAAGAGTAGAGATTCGACTGAGCAGCAAGCACAAGATTTCAATTGGAATCAATTATCCACCGACTTGTCCAGCAAAAGCAATGAAGATCTTAATAAAGAGGACGGCGAGCAACAGGCGGATACTGGCAGTGACGCTAGCATGGAGAACACCGGATCGCTCTTACATAACTTTCTCATGGAGCATCAGAGACGTAATCGTAACGAGGTCTCTTTATCAAACAATTTGTCTAGCGAGACGTCGGAGTACGTGCCCCTTGAGAAACTGGCAGAGACTGTCAGCACGTGTCGCATTTGCAACGAGAAGTTTAAAGATATCGCGCATTTAGATGAACATCGTAGTAAAGCCGGTCATTATCAGTGCAATATTCCAGAATGCGTTAATCTTATCTTCCATTCGGCGATGGAGGTATCAATACATCGGGCTCAGACGCATGGTACCCCGCTTTCGCCGAGTGTGAGCCAACTATCTCCTCATAATCAATTGTCAAACTCGCCACACATGAATCAGAATTCGCCGCACTTGAGTCACTCGCCTCATGCCGCGCCTGTGGATGCATCATCAACAAACAGCTCACAGCAACAACAGCTCAGTAGAAACTCGCCATTAACATCGCCGCATCAGACTAATTCGCCAACATTTAATGCGGCTGCGGCGACGACTGCTGGCGCTACGGGCCAGCAGATGCAAATACCGCCGGTAAACTTTGAACAATTACCACCACCAGTGCAGCAACTGGCCCAGCAAGTGCAACGTATGCCTCTTCCACAGGCGCAAATGCCTCCTAGTCTTCCTCCAGGTGCAAACACGATGATACCCGGGCCGAATTATTTTGTACAGCCACCGGGTCGACCGCCCTTGTACAGAGTACCCGGTCCGCAGAGTATGCACTATCCTCCGCACATGGCGCACTTGTATCAGTACGGACCGGGTCCTTATCCTCCGATAGCCGCGCCTCCTCCGCAGATGCATCCACAATTGCCTCAGCAAATTCCACGTGGGCGATATCCACCATCGGCATCCGTCGTTCAAAACAGCAGGTAAATACAGATCTCGTATATCACATGTATACATGCGAAACGTTTGATGTATATGCTACTTTTAACTTTTAGAGCACCACGGTTACCGCAGACTGGTTCGGTTCCTCGTCAGCGTATGAAAAGGCCCATGCAGCAATCTGTGCAAGTTCAACCGCAAAATAATGCCGTAAAGCAAAGGCGTATGGATGTTCTACTGCCCGATAGAAATGAAGACGCGGACTGTCACGTCATAGCGCAACAGAAGAGAAACGACGGATTACCCGTTATTCAAAATGTTCAGGGAGCTACCACCCAACAAACCAATAGAAATGATTCCACGATACATCTTACAGATTCAATTACTCTAAGTGTTCGACAACCTGGTAAGTTTAAATTTACCTATCAATCTTTGAACTTATTATCAATGAAAAATATTTTTCTCTACGACTATACTTGGTCGTTTTCTTTAAGTTCTGTTACTGCTCTTTTTTTTTTTATGTTGCGTGCTTTATGTAAAGTGCCTCTTCTATGAAATTCTGTTTTTATAATTTTATGCAACAATATTTTGAGTTATGCTTTTGTAAAATTTAAGTTTGTATATATATTATATTTTCATTATGAAGATTTTTTAATATTTGCTTTGCTAAATTTTTCCATTAACTTTATTTTACTGCATATAAATATGTTCTATTTTTTTTTAGATAAATATAGATTTTTTAACTGAGAATCACTATATTCACAGAAGGGGTGCATTACAATAAAATAAAGAGTGCCATATTTTACTAATCCAAAGGTTCTACCCCAACTCAAGTCCAGAGCACGTCAAATCCAGGGGGAAAGAAATCCGATGCCAAGGCGGTGGCAAATGTCCTCGCGGCTCGAGGTATAACAGTTACTCCAGCTGCAAATAAAAATAAGACAAGTGAACAAAGCAAACAGCAGATATCTCCCCAGCAGCAGCAGCGGCCACCTCCTTCACAGCAGCCTTTAAATGTTACAGCACTCAATCTGAATTCTGCTATTTCTATCATACCAACTAGTTCACAAAGAAAGCAGGAGCAAGGACAGTTTGCTGTTCCGCAAAACAAACAGAATAAATCGCCGATTAATGAACCAGTTGAACGACCGCCGAGACCACCGACCGTAGACCTTACGCAGGATACTCCACCGCAAATGCCAGTCGTTAGACGTGGTCGTCCGCCCAGGTAAGAGCTGTCCACTGTGCTTTTCGTCGTTGCCTAATTACGAACAGTTATTAATTAGTGAGTACATGCATATATAGCTCATGACCACATTATGTTCGCGTTTTCCAGAGCGTTATTAACGTGTCAAATATGTGATAAGAACTTTCAAAATCAAGACATGTTGACACAACACATGGCAACTCATCGAACGACTAGCAAATTGCTTCATAGGTGAGTTAAATTATCCTTTTTTGTGTTTTACTCTTTGAATAGCCATAATAGAACTGATGTATACAATATCTTTTTCTTTTTTTTTAAGATGCAACCTCTGTCCTGCTCAATATCCCACAGTTCAAGCGTTGACAACGCACAAACAAACTTATCATAAAGAAGTCGACACTATGGCACAAAATGGAGGCGCGGAACTGGCTTTACCGGTCGTGGATTTAAAATCGCCGCATGTCTTAAACCGCTTGTCAAATCTGGGCATTCAAAGCTACATACCATTGTCGCAACTAAGTGCTCAAACTGGCGGTTACTTTGGTCTGCCGATTATCACGATAGACGGTGCAAGAAACTCGAGTACCTGCAATCTAGGTGCGCTTGGTGCTACCTCTATATTAAGTCTCGGTCCTCTTAAGCATTTATCAAACAGGTAACTGTGGACGCATTTGGCCTATTTCATATGTGCAATCATGCTCATCTTTTATTATTATTATTCTCACATTCAAATCGATTACTGTATTGCCATTGACCATGACATATATTGTCTTAATCTTCGAAGAGAAATGATCGTGATATAGAGTTTAAGTAAAATGATTATATAAATGTGCGATATATCTTATATAAAGAATATACGAAAGTACACTTGTATAAGTATACTTGAATGGTTTTGTATAAATATACAAATATATTATATTCTTTATATAAGAAATATATAGAGAAGATTTATTTGAAATTTTGTTTACCTTGTTATAAAAAAAAAAAAAAAAATTGGTTGCTGACTGAAACATAAAATTTGTTAATTTATTTATAGATTTAGAGCAATACAGTATTTTTTCATATAACTTCTCATTAAAGTTACATTATTATATTTCGATAAAATAAGATTTAAGACCCTAAGAGAAAAATGAAGTGTATAATATATCATTACAAAAGAAATTTTAATGAATTATTTTTGTGTATATTTTTTTTTAATAAAGATCTATTAAATAGAAAATTTTCTGTGCTAAACTTACATGTTTTATATGTAACTCATCTAAAAAACTGGATCTAGATCTTTTGTTGCAGCATTATTATTTTAATCTAAGATATGCACAAGAAAACCTAATTACGAAAAATTAATGATATCAAATATGAAATAATGTTATTATATCGTAGGTAAAAAAGTAATATTTTGATTAGTTTTATATGTAAAATCTTGTAATTTTTAAAAAGATATTAGTAAAAAAATAAAAATTAAGTTGTTTAGGAGCAAGTTTTTGTTTATTCATATCAAAAAATAAATTGTTTTCATATACTTGTGCAATATATGTGATGAAATATGCTAATGTACCTAATTCAGCAGAATTATTCTGCCAGATAACAAACAATATCTGAAAAGATTATATTAATACAGTTGTATATGTAATATCTAATATTGTGTTATATATATATATATATATATATATATCAATATATTGCGGCACGTCAATTATCAATCAAATATTTGCGACAAGATTATCTGCTCCAATATTGATCGCACGCGGAACACGACTTTGCACACGGAATTGTTGATTTCACCGTTATATATCTCGGTATTATGTAATATACGTTGAAGATAGACATATACACGTACTGATATATATATATATATATATATATGCACATAAGATTCATACTCCGTCTCGAAAAGTACGAAGATTACATTTCTTAAAGTGGGCAGCGTTTACATGTTAATAGGACTATAAGAAAAATATTCTACAATGTTTTGTTGAAAGAAGAATAAAGAAAGTCTCCTATACAGCTTTTATTTAACAAAATATTAAAACACAACTTACTGAGTTGTACATACATTTTATAAAAAATAAGAGGCAAAAGAACAGTTATATTCGTTTATATTTGAAAAATGTCTCTATAATGATATCACAGATAATATAGATAATACTTACACATTATCAAGTATATAATTCATATGCACGAGAAAAATCATATACAATCTTTATTTATTATCATTCCTATTAATTACAATGTTATATTGTAAATAATTATCATTATTTTCTTTACAAGCACACACACACACACACAATATACTATTATATATAGTATGTGTGTTTACATGTGTACTTTGTATATTTAAATAAGTCGCCATTTCTCTATCAAATTTGTAGAAGAGCGCTCTATTATCACGAGTGATTGATAATACGATATTAAAATATTGTATATATTTGTATCATATAATAAAAAAAATAATACATATGGACATCTCTGTCACAATCCAAATGTACAATAATAACAGTTGGGCATTATATTGTTCATCTTTGTTTAAGCGAGATGTTTAAGTAAATAAATTTAAATGATTTTGTTCCTTTGTAGTCGAGCAGAGCGAGCTTTGCGGATTCCAAGATGTTATTTCGCTTCTCGTTTCATATTTTGTCTGAGAATCTAGCTATTAGTTCTAGCTATATTAGTTTCTCAAGCAATATTTGCCATTTAAAAGAAAAATAATATAGACATGTTACTTTTTTTATTTGACTTTTTTATTGCTATTTCCCTACCTATCTGTGATATGTCAAATTTACATTGTTAATATTGTAAAAAAGATACATATATGGTGTTATATATATAATTTTTACTATAAATTATATATATGTCTTTTATATATAATTTTTAATTGTATAGATGGCAATCAAAAAAACCATATAGAAATTATAAGAAAATTGTATACAATATTTCATTTCTTGTTATCATTTTCCTTTAGCGAATATATCAAGAAAGATCATTATTTAAATTGTGATTTTTCAATTTTTAATATCATACATATATATTATATATATTTTCATGTTTTAATTTGATTAAAATAAATTTTACCCAAACTTAGATGTGAACAATGTAATTTTACTATAAACTAATTTTATTCTTTGACTTCCTTTAGTTTATAAAAAGCTCATCTTTCTTTTCTTTCTTTTAATTGCTTATTATAATTTGGAAATTAGTATTTTAATTTTTGCTAAAAAAAAAATTGTCTCCAAATTAACTAAATAAAGAAAATCATTAAAAAATAATACGGTAAAAATAGAATAATTTATTTATACTATAAAAATAGAATAATTTATATAATATACTATATATGAAAAAAATCGTAAATGTATTATTCGGGACTTCGGGATACGTTCCGTTTGATGAAAATTCGGTGCATTTGTTTGACCAATCGGAGCATGCTAACTCCTATATGGGGTGCGTTCGGAAATTCTACTCCTGAGATAAAGTAGCATTAAATTGACAAGGAAGTCTTTGCTCCTCTTGCCCTGATAATTATAGTTATATATGTTATATCAGACGTCAGGTATGTATATCGAAATGTTATTTTTGATAATCGTATACAGATTTATTCACATTTTATATATATGTGTGATAATTATATTTATGGTTAACGTTAATTTTTTAGCAGCGGTAAATTTCTGTATTTTAGCAAAATGAGTTCCAGTACCCTTACTGCAAGAGCAGAGCAATACTTTTACAGTATTAATCCTATAGCTCAGAGAATTGGCGAAGATATAACCGCGACGAAGGAAGCTTACGAGGGGCTATGGAACACCTTGAGTACAGCAGAGCGCAATCAAGCTATCAATGAAACTATAATTCAACCTGAGGTAGCTTTAAAGTATACTTTGAAGAAGATCGAGTTGACTAAAGAATTACCAGAATGGTATCCAAAGCTGCGTATACAGACTGGAATGAAATATGTCATAGATGAAACTGGTTCTGTGAGTAGTAATGTTGTTAATGCTTATGAAACATTAAATATACAACAAATTGATAACTTATTTCTCATTGCATTGCAGACATTACGATGGCGGGATGAGCACTCTGCACCATTTTCATTTATGACTCAGTCACAGATGAATCTCAATCTTATTGATTCTAATGAAGATGTGAAATCTAAATCGATGAGAACTCATTTTGGAGAGTCACCACATTTTTCCAGTCCTGTGAAGGCACAAAGAAGCAACCCTTGTTCAATGAATGACAGCTACAACTCTGCACACCAAATCAGCTGTTATCAATCGGATTGTTACACCGCCAGTCTATTTGAAAACAATCAATGTAGCGATTTATTGACAAACAGAATTGATAGCGAACATTCTGACAGTATATTTGCTAAACTGATTAATAAGACTTCTTTATTGAAATTACAAAGCAATGTTGAGGATGATATGGAGAGTTTGGTGAGGGAGAGAGATTCTGATACAGATAAAAGTCAATCGAATACTGTGATAATGTCGCGAACAAAGTCGAGCGATATAAACGAGTCAACTGCTCTGTTAGAAACACCTAGTTCCTACAGCAGCTTTCAATCATCCCAATTGAATCAAGAAGAGGAAGAGAGAAGTATACCAAAGACTGGATTTGAGTTTCTTGATAATTGGTAAATTTATTCCATTGTAGGAATAACTCAATTTCCTCTGCATGCGTTTTTATTATATAAAGGATATTTCCATAATATTCTAGGAATATAAGTTGGATATGTAGATACAGATATTTGAGCAATGTATTTGATCTGATTATTTTCCATTGTTGTGTGTTGTATAAAAATTATTATATGAATGTATGCGTACAAGTCAAAGTATATTTATGTAGAAGAAGATGGAATATTTTTTACATCGAGACTTTTTAACAAGATTTTTTATATGCTTATATTTTATAACTTAATTTTATTTGTACGATATACTACCAGATACCATTTATATAACAGATGACATAAAGAGGATTATAAATAATCTTCAAAGACTGAAAAGAATAATTTCCAATAGAATATTTATGATCTCTCATAAGACCTAAGCCTACCTAGATTTTGATAGACACAATTATGTTATGTATTGCTTAGATATCGAACAATATGTAACCAGTTTAAATTTGTTACCTTTTTTTATAATATTGTATTTTATACTATTAACATTTCATATATAGCATGAGCTTACGAACAAATAAGTATGCTTAATATACTCTAAATGTTTGATCACAATCATTATTTACAAGCAACAATTTAGCTTAAACAAATTTATGTAGATCATCGATTGTATATCAATATATGTATGAATACGTTATCATGAGTATACATAACTTACTCTTTTCATACATTATCATATTTCCATAATATATATCTGTGTCAATTATGTTACAAATCATGATTTGCTTTTCTAGATTCTCAAAATTTTCTCAAATCCAATTAATTAGCGCTGTCTTCACAAAACAGTCTCAAACTCTTTCCATTATTTTCAAAAAGATTCATTTGATTGATCCTTCAGGTAGTCCAGAATCCGGACAACCAAACTAGAAATATCAGATTAATAAAAAAAAATTCTCTTTTTGTTTGTTAATATAAAAAACGAATAAATTTTTTAAATTAATTTAGAACGATATCTATAAAAGAAATGAGATAAAATTATAAAAGATCTGTGTCATTCTTTGTGTATTGTATCACGATCGATGCTGTTATACCTTCAGTGCTAGGTGACTGTATGATCGTTATGTTTTCATCACCGCTGCCATCCCGAGCGATTTCGGATGTCCGGTAATACCCGAACATGTTCCCTCTTGTTTCGGAGAGCGAGCAAATTCTTCGTAAATCCGTCGTCTTCATTATTCGTTTGGCCTCTGATTTGCGCTCGAAGGGTGACATCAGTATCAGATGCCGCTTCGACGATGTCCGAACTGAAACTTAAAAAAAAATCAATGGCAATGATTTCGAAATCAATTTTGCATTTCAAAATTACATTGAATATAGCAAAGAAATTCCATGGTTTTATTTCGATATCAATAAAAGTTTTATTATACGTTAAAACTCCTATATCTAACTGTGCTATATCTATATTGAATGGATGCCAAAAGTGAGAAATCATACATCGATAACATCGATATGAATAAATTTTTTGTAAACCATTACTCTCTCTTGTGTTCAATAATATGAATTAGTAAAATATAGCAAAAAATCCCTTTTTTGTTATCCTGAATTAATAAATGCATGTATAATTTATTTTCATGTATATATCTTACATTTCCAGAAAATAGATTTTATGACAATTAGCTAAAATTTACAGCTATTTTTTTTTATTAATCTATGAATCAAAAAAAGAAATTTTTAAGTTTTCTGTGCATCTCCTGTATTTTATTTGTATTATGCGATATTATGTTGCTCATGTTTGCTCACCATTTGTATCGTTTTTATCTCCTGATGCACCCTTACATGTGTTTTTCGATTCCTTCGACGGTTTGTCAGACAATGCGGATAAACTTCTCGAAACGATGGCCGTCTGTTGATTACCGTCGTTGCATGACGATCCCCGAAAGACGTTCGGCAGAGATTTACCTTTCGGTTTCAACAGAGTAATTTGCGGAAAGCAAGAACCTGACAACGAATTATTATTTAAAATGTTATTTTAAAATTTTATTTTTAAATGATATTTATTAAAGAGTATTAAAAAGAGAGAAACACGCTCTTTGTATTTTCTTCAACATACATTTTGTGGAAGTTGCAACAACTTTAGAACCGCCGCATTTATCTTTTCGTTCTGGACGTCCTCTGGAAGGACTGCATTGTCCGTATCCTGAACATCTCTGCCCATCGAAACAATCCTGGTTTTTGGAAGGTATCGAACGCCTCTCATCACCTGCGTTACTATTTCCGTACTGTTCCATGGCTTGACGTTCCAATTCCTGTAATATGATAACGTGTATCAGTGCGAGATACTTCGTTTTGTGTGAAAAATAGTTGAACAAAGATAAATTGAAAAGAATATGCTTCTGCGCGAAATTAAATAGATATCCAATTTTCGACGTCAAGGTTGTGAAAGAGATCAAATCCTTTCTATTAGAATAATTAGAAGATACCGATTGATAAATAAAACTATCGAAATGGAAAGAAGTCACGATAAAATTCCGATCCTTGATTTTAAAAACTAGAAGAATCTGTAATTTTACACAATCCTTAAATTCTTGTCAATCCCTTCTGATTCACCCATTTTTTTTCGCGAGGCTATCTAGCTATACCACGAGATTAATATTCAAGTTGCCTGGTATTTGAGAGCTAGCGACTCTTCCGAGTTTCTGTACTGTTCCATTGCTTGCTGTTCGAGCTCATCGTATCTAAAGTTAATTGGAGAAAAATGGTTACCGATTATCTTAAATTTTCAAAACTAATTGTAAGTAGATAAAATTTTATTATTACCTTTCCTCGAAGACATTCTCCAGAGCCGCTCCGCTCGAGGCATTTGCCAGGACATCTCTGTAAAGCGGCCGTTTCGTCCTTCTGTTCCTCTCTTCGGCGTCCGAGACCCTACATTTGGGGCTGTCGCTCCCGAAAATTTTATTTTTCGATCTCGAAGTCTCGGACGATCTTTGTTGACCTTCAACGGCGGTTCTCCAGCTGGTGCCGGCTCCTCTACAGCATTCATACTTTTCCTCGAAACTGCGCAGTTCAGACACCAGTGCGTTCACAGTCACGACCTCCTTTGCCCCCCTTGCGCAACGATCCCTGTCAAACCATTGCATCTGCACGTTGCGACCAGAAGTTCTCAGGCTCTGTTTGGATTCCAGGAGGAAGGGTTGCTGAGCGGTGCCCTTTGAGCGTCGCGTTTTGATATTATTTTTCGTCAATAGTATGAGATTGTTGAAGTCAACTCCCTGACTCTTCCGTTTCGGCATCGGTTCCTGGTACAGCTCCATTGGTCGTTGGTATACTGGTATGGATGTCGTCGGACTCGGTTGGGTGTAGGGTAAAAATTTCTCGTATATCTGCCAATTATACAATACGCGGTTTTGTCAAGGACCTTTTAATTTTATACGAAGATCTAAGAAAATATTATAGTCAACGCAAATATAATGTCACGCGCCGATCAATTTAAGGTAATTAATAATTATTACAATAATAATAAAATCCTTAAATGTGAATAATAATTGTAGCTTGAAATAATTGATGAGGTAAATATATAAATATAGAATAATTTTGAGGTAAATCCAAACTTCCACATATTGAATTGATAAAATTCTCAAATTTTTCTCTGAATTATTTTTATCGAAAAACAATACCTGCAAGGGACGATGCACGATCGAAGCGTCATTAATCGACCGCAAGGACGTGCAGATCGGCAGAGGTGACGAAGAGGACGCTGTTAATTGTAATTGCACCGGCGGTGCAACCCTTTGGATCCATTCCTGAGGCGAACGGAACATGTTCGTTTCGGTCGCTGGCAATATAGACATCCTGGTGTTCTATATATAGAGAAATCGCAAAGAATAAATTATTGATACGAGATTTCATCCTCATAGATTTTCCATTTACCGGAAAAACGGTCGTCGCAATATCGTGTTGCGGTCTGTTGTAAGGAAACAGCTCGCTCTGATAATTTCGGTCGTTTAGCGACGGAAAGTAACGTATCTGACAAGCCCTGCGTTCCTTATCACTATTCATGCTGTAGCTTGTTATTGAAGGTAAATTGGATTTCGGAAAGAATTCTGGTACTTCGGCGCTTAAAACCGGTGGCGGTGGTGGCGGCGGTGATTGCAACACTCTTCGCTGATATTCCGTTCTTAGAATCAAAGGCTGATACTGTAAAGTGCAGTAAAATTGTTGTTGATGATGCTGGACGGTGGGCTGCGTTTGCCGCGCGATTTGCTGGCAATTCTGCCGGTTTTGCTGCTGCTGTTGCTGAAACTTTTCGGGGTTCCATATATCGCGCACGGCGTCGCTCCCGATGCGAGATTCCAGTTGCATTTCCGCAGCGGTTTCGACGGTGTATCGACGATAACGAGCGAATATTTCAGTCGACTTCTCATGTGGTCCTGGCAACGCGATATATGCAGTCAAAAATATAAAGAGTGAGACGACTTCGATTCATAAAAATTAATTTTAATATATATATATAACAACAATAATTAATAAATATATTTGATTTCTAGATAGAATAAACAAAGAAAGACATGAGATAATTAGGAATTATAATTTCTACTATCTTTTCCACTTAAGAAAAATATACAGAGATGTATAATTTATTACTTATATCGTTGTTAATTTATATAAGAATATTGCTTACTCTTATTGGTTTCAGATTTGTGAATTGGAAATAATTCGTCATGTAATCCAATCTTTTTGCTCTTCTTTGGACTGACTTTTTGACGTCGCTTTTTCGAGCCCTCGTTCCAATTTGATTGGAAACTCGAGCAAACAACTTCGTTTTCCCTTCTCACAGTGTTACACTTCAGTATTGGTATTGCTGAGCTTTGCATATTGAACATACTGTTAATGTGAGATATGAAAATCTGATCGCAAATTAAATAATTAATTATAATTTATATCGTTATACTATACTACGCTTCAATTAATTTATTATCCCCTTATTAATTATTATCATATAGAGATTTACTATTAATTATAAAATGATAATTAATTTCTCGATATTTTTGTCTCTGAGAGTTTCTCTCGTGGAAAGGGGGGGGGGGAGGAGCGGGAAGAGGCTTCGGGAATATAAGAATAATACGGAAGTGCTGAAGCGAACTAACGGTTCCCGATGCGATCGCGTGCTGTTCGGTGAGATTAACCGGGCGAAGTGTTCTTGAACTTCAGGAAGCATCCACGGTTCCACAGCCTCCGTAGTTGAACGGAAGTGGCGAGACCCGCTATCCGACGATTTACCGTCGTCCGGCCTGTACATTCCCTCGTACTGCTCGTCGTACTCATAATTACCGTATTTCGCCAAGCGCGATTCAGAGATGACGTCTCGGACGAGTCTCGGACGATAATCACTATTTTCTTGGTACTTCGCGATTACCTCGCAACTCTGACATTAACGATAAGTTATCATTATGCCAGAATAGATTTCTCCTCCCTTTATCTCGAAGTTCTCAAGTATTACGGTAGTTTTTTCACCTTCAATCGACAGTATTTCTGTTATTTTCAATATACGATATACATATACGAGATATTTGTGAATTTAATTAATTAATTAATTAATTAATGATTTTTTTCTTTCATATACAAAACGTCCTCAAATGACGATAGGCAGCGATCGATACTGATAAAAGACATTCGGAAATATGGATAATGCGGTACTTTGGATATCTATCGGATACTCGAAAGAGAGTATTTGTTGAGCGTCTCACTTGAATCCAGAGAGAATGATTTAACTTTCGAAAGGGATCCTCGGGATCATAGGTCCAGACCTTGTCGGCGATCAGACTGATATTTGCGTAGGCGCTATTTAGAAGCTCGTCGTCGTATGACGGAAGTGGAGATATCATTATCTGTACATTATAACCGATCGATCCGATATTCCGATAGTCCGATGAGAGGTCAATAAAAACTTTCGCGTTACAAGCTTTCTCTCGTAGTTCCGTGTTCCACAAATCAATTGAGAATTCGATCTCAAATTAATAAATGCAATAAATAATAATAATAATAAATAATAAATAGTGATTAATATCCGATGCCGTATTTTATACGGAGTGAAATCGGTTTTGACAAAAGTATTGGAGCCACGTAAGAGATGAAGATCGAAGATGGCTTGTTCACGATTTATCGACTAGCAGATAGTGAACTTTCTTCAGGCATCTTTAAAAGGCAATGCGACAACTTTTTTTTTCACTCAAATTTAAATATATAAATATTTATATATTTAAATTTGACGATTGTATTTTTAAATAAAAAAATATTTGTAGATATTATGCGATATACTAAGAAAAATGGAAATTAACGATTTATGCTACATAAAAAGTTTTCAAAACAACTTGACATATCAGAAAAAATTCTATCAATATCTTAAAATGAGAAGGAATAAGAGAAGGGGATAAATGACGGTACACGGCAGCTTTTACAAATTTGTCGTTTCTATTACGAGTTATGGTCGATGATGATAAAATAGCACGCACTCGCGCACGCATTCGCACTTTTATACAACTCACTCACATACGCGACAGTTTTATTTACAGGGTGAGACAGATCGTGGACAGATCTGTCATAATTTACAACGTAAACGTATCAAGCGAGCCGCTACTCGCGAAATTGCAAAAATAAGCGGAAAAGGAAAATCAGTCTGGTAGAGTCTGCGAGAAGCAGGTACTCTCAGGAACGCTACGACGGCATTATTGTCTCTCTAACGAATACGAATTGAGCACGAAATCGACACGACGATATTACATTATCCAATATAATCCCGTCAGCGATGTTCCGTTATCGTTACGATTCGAGTAGTATCGATATAGCGAAGTAGTTATTTCTTATAATGAGGGAAGACAAACTCTCTCTCCCTTCTCTCGGCGGACGTTTTTTCAATCAAAACGCATTTTTTTTTCAATCGAATGGCTAAGAATGGCTATGACGTACTTCGATAAATTATAAATTTAACAAGTATCATTCCGGACCGTTTGAATCAGATTTTCAAACTATTATAATTTCGGCGAATTTTAATCCGATTTATAGAAAAATAGATTTTATATTAATAATGGCGTTTCTCTCTCTCTCTCTCTCTCTCTCTCTGTTATCGTGGATAAAATTAATATAATTTATAGCATTTAAATTCAAACTCACCGAGATAGCATTCCTATTTATCGAATTGCAATACACGAGAAATGTTTACAATTCTGTCACTAATCACTAATTTCTTTTATTATACTTTTATCTTGTACTTATTATTATCAAGAAATTAATTTTTAAAATATAATTATAAAATATGACATCTTTAATCACATATAAGGGTAAAAAGTACAATTAAAGAATAATATATATAAAATTATTTAAAGAATATATATATTGCAATTATATATTTCGAAAATTTTCTCGTGTTACAATCTAAATAAATAGAAACGTATAATAGTTTTCATTTCTGATTTAAATACTATCGTGAGGTAAGAATGCCTATGTGCCACGCATACACACACATACGTACATTTAGCCATTTAACCAATAATTACAACGTGTGCGACTGTATCGAGTGTATATCTGACATGGCTGTTTAGGATATATACAAAAGTCGCTAGTTAATTAGATTACCTCGATGCCTAGTCGCTCATTTTTTCATCTCGTAATTAAAATAATATTCAATGTAAATTCGCGTAATCCTGTTTCGTATTTAATATTGCGTACGATCGTTCAAGATGTATGAGATACGAATATTTTTCCCGCAAATTGAGCATCAATATATTTATTAATTTAATCAAAACTAATATTATTAGTAATATTAACATTGCACGAGTTTGCGTAATTTAATATTAATATTAATAATATTAATTTTAATCTTAATTGCAATCGATATTAATCGATCATTAGTCGCAAGAGAAGTTTTGTGCAGTTCGACCGATCGTATAACTGAGGGATAGGCATTTCGCGAACGAGTCGTTTTGATTAGAAACGTGTCATTCAATATTTACAAATATTCGCGAAATAAAAGAGTACGATAAAAAATAACGAGTCTCTCTTTCTCTCTCTCTCTTTCTTCGAGAAAAATTACACTTTATGGCAAGATGATCGCGCATTTGGCGCGGCACCTCGCTGCAACGTCGTAAATGTTGCAACGATTTTTCACCAACAACACTTAGAATCTACGTTTTAAAATCGGCACCTTTCTTAAACACGTTCTCGCATGACTCAAGATTACGATCATCCAAAGCCCGATGCCGTGGATGTCGCGATTTATATAAACTATTGTTTTACAAACGTCCAACTAGTCAATTAAACAGCAACATTTCTACGTCGTAGATTTCGCCATTTTTTCAGGCAAGGAGAATCTTTACAATCTTCTCTGAAAGAATTTTCAAGACTACTAGTCAGTTTACTAAATTGTCTCGGCATCGTTCGTCGGACTGTTTCAAACGTATTCCTCGGACGGTTTGGGGATATTCGCCGGTAATCTAGGTACTCGGCTGGTGCTATCCGGTAATTCGGCGATGTCGATGAAAACGCCGACGAGACTCTCAAAGTTGGGTCTCCAATTGAGCAGATAGTCCCAGCTAAGAGCATCTTCGGTGGCGGTGATAGTGGTGGTGGTGGTGGTGGGCGAGCCGTTGTTGGCATGGTTGCCGTAGAGGAGACCGCCCATATGGGTCGATAGATCGTCGTCCGAGGCGACGAGGGTGCTGAGGGAGCCACGGAACGAGCTGTCGAAGCCGTCATAATTGCCGACAACGTTTGGCGGTAACGGCGGTTTCGTTGACTGCGACGACTCGACATTGCTCCTGCTACCTTGGGGTCCGCTACCCTCGTCAGCTTGCTTGGCAAACAGGTTGTCGGACCGCTTGTCACCTACCAGCGAGCCGTTGTCGTATTCGATCTCCGAGCACGTAAAGCTATCGTTGCCACTCTCGTCGGTGGTCGACGAGTTTCGTCGCTCGAGTCTCTCCGCGGGCGGTGTATGACGTCGATGGTGGTGCAGGGGCCCGTGAGCGGGTGGACCCCTCGCCTCGCTGGACGAGCTCACGGCGTCCAGGGTAGAAACTAGACTAGACGTTCTCGGGCGAGAATTTAATCGCTCGATCTCCTCTGCGGTAAGACCCATCGGACCCGAGGATACGTTGTTCACCGAATTCTCATTGTTGGATTGCGGAGCCTTCCTACTGGCGGTTGAGCCCGACAGCTGACTCATAATGGGCGAATTCAGGCTTCTCTCACTGTTGGAATTCAACGCGTCCTTGCCGACACCGCCCGACGAGGATGTGGTGGCCAGCAACGCGCTTTGCAGCGGCTTCCCACTGATGTCGTGAAGCGTAAGAATCCGCGGTTGTTGAGCGGATAATTCGCTGCTGGGTGATAGTCTCGCTAATGGGGTACTTTGGAGTAGTTTCGGCGCCGGTCCAGGTGGTTGGTTCACGTTGGGCGGCGGCATAGCTCGCGGTGGAAAGGGTCCGGTATGACGGTGTTGCTGTCCCGTGTGCTTATGGTGATTGCTATAATTACCTGCGCAGAAAATTGCTATTTAAATCGATCGCATAACATATCACATTTCTTGATACATACATGTATAAAAAGAATTTTAAATTTGGTAAACATTTTTGTACATATTTTATAGATTTAAAACTTAGATTTTATTACTTTTCTTTATATCTCAAAAACAAAATTATTTTATTAGCTATTAAAATGTTATTGCAAAAATATTCTATTAATGTCTCTAAAATTAAACAATATAGTCTATATTTAAATTAGTTTATCCCTACTATATTTTATTAATTATCCCTACTTTGAATTTTTAATATCTCTCGTCAATTGTCAAAACTATCAACAATCGTGGTTTTCTCTCACCTAAAGGAGGCGGAGTGGCCTTGTACTTTCTCATGCCGTCGCGATAGCCCTTATAATGATACACGATGTCGATGTCGCTGGGAGCGATCGAGCTAGCGTTCTCCAGATCGTAGTGCTCCGGGATGTCAGGTTCCGGATTATGTTCGTGCGAATGTAAGGAGGTCTGGGCAGGGGGTGGCAGCGGCGGGTGTTCGTCACGGATAGGCGGTGACTTGGTGACTTCTCTCTCGATGATGTCGGGTCGTTGCGGTCGATGCTCGGCAGTGGCGTTGATCTCGCGCTCCTTGTACTTTTTCGAGATTAACTCGGGCCCCATGTGACCCACACCGCGCAGATCCGATGTGTCCGAGATATACGTGTTTTCGTGTCGGGACATGAGATTGTCGTTCCCGGCGCCGACCAACGAATTGCCGGTCATGATGGCGTTCGTGTTCTTGTTGACAACCGACGGAGCCGATTTTTCCTTGTTCTGTCGGCGTAATCGGAATACTATGAAGCTCACCAGCATCGCGATCAGCAGAATGACGAAGAAGACGATGACCAGAGTGATGCCGATACTGAGGGGATCCGCGGTTGCGGCTGCACTGATGCCGATCGGTCCTCTGCATCCGGTACTCACTTTGCCGTGATAAAGTGTATTTTTGAAGATGGAACCGGAACCGTTGAACGGCTGCACCTCGTTGTTGATGGTAAAGTTAGCTAGACAACCCTCAAAGCTTTTAGCATCAGCGCTATGAGCGTAATAGAGATCCCGGTTAACTCCACCGATCGACAGGATAGACAAATAGGGATCGAGAAAGTCGTGAACACCCGCCGAATCCAACTCGTCACCCGTCACGGCACCGTCGACCAGCAGTCTTAATCCTCCGGTATAGGCGTGGAGAGTCAAATTATGCCAATGTCCATCGGCGAGTCCGCGCTCGATGTTGATTGACATGTTCACCGACGATCCGAGCAGAGAAGTGTAAATCAGCTGACCGTTACGAAGCTGAAGCATAGAATAGTCATGTCAATTGAATCACAAAATAAAATAGGATTCTATTTACTTCTTTATATATTTCACGATATTATCTATTTTATTAATTTATTTATATTCCGAGAAAATCAAGAGAACAAGAAATTATTATAAAAAAAGTTAACAGTTAATAAAATTCTGAAAGTTGAATATCATTAAAAATAAATCTTTTATTAATAAAAAAAGATGCCGTTTCAACATGTGCCTCACCTCTACGGATGTAAAATGCTTATTGGTTGCAGCGTATATCAAGATACCATCAGGTTTTACAGTTCTGAACATCAGACCGATTGTCTTCGATGGAGAAGAGTTTGTTATAAAACTCGTGTCGTCGATGAGATCGCGCCTAACGCGATTCGTATGCCATATTGTTGAGCCATCATAGAGATATTCCAACAATTGCATCCTTTTGTGTTTCTCCGAAATCTGCGTGTGAACAATATCAATTATTTCAATTCAAAATTATTCAGAAATAGCAAAATAACATCGGCAAAATGTGGTTGTGATATATAAATTGTTTCACAAGTATTATAATTAATCTGTTAATTAAATTTTTAGAAATTATATTAGTAATTCCTTGACTTCTTTAAATTAATGTCACAATTACAATGAGTAATATTGCTACAATATACTTGACATTATTATTTTGTTGTTACAGTTGTTATATTATTAAATACGTATTATATTATTACATTTATAATTAATTTTAATTAATTATAATACACATACACATATATTATATATAAAATTAAATTAAATTAAATGTACTTGTTTTTACCTTAAACTCGATAAATCCTCCCTCGCTCAACGTAATGGGATCCATGGCGCCGTGACAGTTGGGCGCTGTCAGAGATCCGCATTGACATATTACTTGATGCCACTTGTCGTAACATCGTGCGCCCGTACCGCAGACGGAAATGGTGTCTTTCTCATCTCTTAGGCAAGGACTTCGCTGCGATCTGAGGCACGTGGATTTGACGCCGCGCGACGCGAGCGGATTCGTCAGATTCAGGGCCCTTCCGTTTATTGCCACCGAATGAATGCAACCTACAAAATCGTCGGAATGCACTTGACCAGGACGTTCTAGCACGGGATCGGCGTTCTCCAGACCACCCAGTAGAAGAGGATTGTTGTTGAAATTCAGGGTCCTGCAAATATATCGAATATATCAATCATTAAGATTCTCGCGTTTAAATTAACTTTGGATTTAAAATGCTATTAAACATTGAATAATCAAGAAAAACGTTTTTGAATGCCATTGGATATGTAATTATTAATAATTATCTCCATTACAGTATCAAATAATCGAATTTTTAAATTTAGAGTTTTTATAATTTTATAATGATCAAACATTTTATATACTAATGATGTATTAATTTTATCGCTCAAACTTTTAAGACTAAAAGAAAAATTCGATTTTTTTGCGAAATCTTATTCACTTCTGTGAGTTAATTAATTCTCCTTATTTTATAGCTTTTATCAATAAACAATAAAAAAAAAAAAAAAAATACTAACCCGGTCGGACCCACGTCGTCTGCGTAACAGGTACCATCGCCAGGTCTACAATCGTCGCAGACATCGCCGTGTTCCCTGCAAACGGACACGCTGAGCGAGACGACTCTGCCGTTTCTGGTGGCGGTGACCTTGCGCCACTCGCCGTCCGATACCGGTTTCTCGGTCTTGATGGCTACGGTAGTAATCGCGCTTCTGGCACCGCCGTACGAGAAGACCACTCGGCCATCGATCAACTCCAACACGACAAAGTCCGAGCGGCCGCCCGTCTGCGGCGCGTAATTGTACAGTAATAAAGCGTCCGGCTTCGTGGTGGCGAACACGATGGTGATGTCATTCGTGTTAGAGTCCAGCGCTGGGAATGCCATGTAGGACAGCTCGTCGAAGCCAAAGGTCGAGCGCTCGCAATGCCGTCCATAGCGACCTTCGGGACAGCTGCATCGATATCTGCGCGCGACAATTTTATTTTTCATTTTTTTTCATATAAAGAAATCAGTCAATATTTAAAAAAGAATACGCTATAATATAAACATTATTTTACATATATAGTATACTATTTTATAGAGTATATTACATTATACTAACTTTAAAAATATCTTATTTTATATAAAAATTTTCTCTGCAATCCTTATAAAAAATAGACGATCCTTTTGTGTGCGCGCTCGTTTATGTATACAACTAAAATATTATGATTATATATAATTAAAGGATCAACGAACCCAGGTTTCTCTCCCACGCACAAACCACCGTACAAGCAAGGATTCGGTCGACAAGAGTCGGTGATTGCCTCGCAGTGATTTCCTCTGTAGCCTGCTCGGCAGAGGCAGAAAAAGCTGAGACTATCTGGGCTGTTTCTGCACGATCCGCCGTTTCGACACGGATTGCTGGCACACGCGTCGCCCCTCTCGAGCTCGCACAGTTTGCCGTCGCGATCGATGGGACAAGTGCATTGGAAATCGTATCCCAAACGACGGCATTGCCCTCCCTATAGATAAAGAAGAGAATGTGTTATGCGAAAATTTGCGCTTGATATCGATTTTTATGGGAATCTAATTGTAAATTAAAAGAAAAATATTCAGCAATTTCTACGATTCGAATATACGCTATATATTATATATTGTTTAATATTTATCTATTCACAAATCGATCTTTGCGACTCGCATCTATATTTATTGTCGTTAAATTATATATAAATTATATAAATACAATAATATCGATCGCATTCAATTTTCACGTATCACGTATATTGAATTCTATTCTTTATTTAAAATTTTTTTTTGGCAAAATAATTTTCTACTTTTGGTACTCACCAACAAGCAGGGATTCGGTGAACACGGATCCTGCCTTTTCTCGCATTTGTCGCCGGTGAAGCCGTCCCGGCATTTGCAGATCATCTCGTGCATCATTCTGGGCGATGTCAGGATCAGTGCCTGGCTGTCGGTGATTCTGGCATCGTCGTATATGGCCAATCGATCGCTGCAGCTGCCACCGTTTTCGCATGGCACGTGCTTGCACGGGGAATAGCCGATGGTGAATGTGCTATCTTCGAGTAGCGCCTGGATTTGGTCTCCATTACGCATCAACAAATCGGTCACTTCATACTTTGTACGATATCCTGAAAAATATGAACAAAATATTGGCAAAATAATGTTACCACTTTTTTATATCTGGAAATATTAATGTGTAATACAATTGACGCAAAATATAACAAAATATATGAATATTTTTTTAATATATTTTTTTGTGAACTGCAATATTACAATTGAAATTCATCTACGTCTCATAATTAATATATAACTGATACTAGATATGCATATATCACATATATATCTTTTAATATTCATATAATATATTCAAGTTTTCTATATATATTTATTTATGATATTTTTAACTTACCTTGCGGAGAGTCCACTGCCAAATGGACATTCACATCTTGTCCATTCTCACCGATGCTGAAAATAGTGAGTGTGTCGCCGACGTCAATTTTCTCCCGTAGGAGATCCAGAAGTGCTCGGTAATATTGACTAAGAAAATCCTTTGCGGTCATTTTGGAAATTTGCAGAGTTATGCTGTTCTCGATTGTGGCATTCGAGAAAAGTAGAAATTCGATCGTGACCTTGGAGACCACGTCGGGATGTCGTCCGTCGTTGCCGGAGATGCTCAGTGAGTGACCGGTTTCTGTATCCGCAAACACAATTAATCAAGAAAAGATATAATATTCATTCGAGAATAGAAAGATCGATATTCGAGAAATCAATACCAATCGAGATACCCGAAACCTTATCAATATTAATTAAAGTTTGCTGAATATACTTATTGAAAAATCAATACTACTTTTTAAAAATGAAAAAGCACATAGATTAAGATTAGTCGCAAATTTCTAGATACCCGAGAGTTAAAAATTTTTTTTTTTTTGCAATCGATAAATGTGTACCTGGTGTAATCTTGTTAGTGTGTAGATCACAGGCGTTGGGGATGCTGAGCACGCGCGGATTCGAACTTTGAAGTATCTTGCAAGAGTAAGCCCCGGTAATATCCGGGTCATTTGGATGAACATCGGCAATCTTTCCCAGAGGTGTCTTGCCGTTGAACGAGCGCACGATCACGTGGACCGATCTCGGGGCGGACGGGCTGTCGTTTTGATCCGTAACAATCACGGTAACGGTGTGCTCGCTCTTCATTCGAGGTATTCCCGAGTCTTCCACTTCAACCTATATGAAGATAAACAGAGATACTTAGTTTAAGAAAAGCGGGACGTTTAAAATCATTTATCATTCGTGTATACTGACCATGAGATCCAGTTGCGGCATCGTTTCCCTGTCGAGACTCTTGGTAGTTCTCAGCACGCCGGAATGCTTGTCCAAGATGACAACGTCGCTTTGCCTTCCGCCGATCAGTTTGTACGTGAACGGTGCGCCATTGGGCGGCAGATCGGGATCAGTTGCGCTCAAAGTCATCACACTAGTACCGGCCGGTTCGTTCTCGCTGACGTAACCGATCACCTCTGGCGGGTCAAAGACCGGTCCGTTGTCGTTGACGTCCAGTAGCTCGATGTGCACCATTGCAGTGCCGGTCTGCGATGGCGAGCCGGTGTCGATCGCACCGATTGTCAAATCGTAAACGGGCACAGTTTCGCGATCCAGCTGTTTTGCTGTTTCGATGTCACCAGTCTGCGGATCGACCTTAAACGCTTGGCCATGATTGCCGCCGATGATGGAGTACGAGAACTGATTGTTCTGCGGCTTGATGTCCTTGTCGATTGCGCGGACAGTGACGACGCGGGTGCCGTGAACGGCACCCTCCGACACGCTTGCATCGTAAGAGCTCTGTAGAAACTCGGGCGGATCGTTGCCGTCCTGAATGGAGATGATCACCTGCGCCTCGTCGGTGTCGTTGCCGCGTATACCGCCACCGTTCTTCGCCATTACCGTCAACACCACGCGATTCTGCGTTTCGCGATCGAGTCGACGCGACACCCGAATGACGCCGGTTTCCGTGCCGATGGAGAAACCGCGGTCGTTGGACGAGCCCACGAAGAGATAATATACGCGGCCGTCCTCGCCCGAGTCCTGATCGGTCGCCTGGACCAGACCGACCGATGTGCCGACATCGGCACTCTCAGACACGTCCATGTGGAATACCGGTTGAATGAACTTTGGATAGAACTCGTTTACGCCTGTGATGCGCACTACCACGGTCGTAAAACCGACCATCTGCGGATTCGAGTCCGGATTGGCCGCGACAATGTCGAGACTGTACTCGTTCAACTCCTCGTAATCGAAGCTGGTGTCTGATGTAATCTCGCCCGTTTCCTCGCGGATGCGGAAATGATCCTTGCCGCTACCACCGAGAATCTTATACTGCACTACAGCGTACTTGGGAGAATCGATGTCTTGGGCGACTACCTGGAAGTGGGCGGAAAAAAAAAAGAAATTACAATGATTCCCTTCAATTATTCCCTCAAATCATAGAGGAATATTATAATATACGCGGATACTTTTTTTCATTTTAAATTTTATAATTTTTCAAATTTTGCTAATGTATTACATAATTATATCCAAAAATTTATTTTCCAAATCTAAGAAAAAGAACGATTATTCAAAATTTGAATATATTTTCGTTCTCCGAAATAGGCTAAATTATCAAAAGCGCCAGAAATAAAATGAATCAGAATCACATTTTTGAACATACCTTGTAGACAAAACTGTCGGGCGGCGAGTTCTCCGGTAAAAACGCCTCATATACACTCTGATTGAAAATCGGAGGATTGTCGTTGATGTCGGAGACGTTGACGATCAAAGTGGCAACCGCTTGCTTCGGCTCGAATCCCAGATCCATGGCGGTAATGTTCAGCTGATATTCCTGCACTAAATCGTAATCGAGAGGCTCGAGTATGGTAACCGCGCCGGTGATGGGGTGCACGGAGAATTCATTTCTCTCGTTGCCGGCCGAGATCTTGTAGCGTACCATACCATTGGGCCCACTGTCGTCGTCCACGGCGCTCACCGTCAAGATGGTCGTGTTAACTGGCTCGTTCTCCGGCACCCTCACCTGGTGACTGACGGCGGCGAAGGTGGGCGCGTGCCGGTTCTCGCCGGAGATGACAAGCGTTAAAACAACTTGGTCCTTTTGCGGCGGCACGCCTTTATCGGTGGCGTATGCCTTCAACGGGAATACTGTGCCGATAGGAATACCGTTGAGGCTCTTGCGCACATAGACCCAGCCAGTTTGTTCCTCGATGGCAAACAGGTCGCCAGTGCCGTTTATGTACGTCAACGTATAACCGACCTCCGCATTCACGCCGAAGTCGGCGTCGTCATGGGCGATCAGCTGGGTGATACGCTTGCCCACTCCGTAGTTTTCCGGTACCGGCGACAAGTAGGATCTCTGCTCGAAGCGGGGCGCGTTGTTGTTGGCATCCACCACATTTACATGCACCACCGTCCTCGAGGACATCGGTGGCTTGCCATTGTCGGTCGCAATTACGGTTAGCGAGTATAGGTTCTCCGGTGAGGATGGTCGATTACTATGCTTGTAGCGCAGAGTGCGCTTGCTGAAGACATCGCCGGTCGCCGGATCGACGGCGAAGAGATCGGATGGTTGAAGCAGACTGTAAGATATGACGGAGTTCGGTCCCTGCTTGTCGCGATCGATCGCGGTGACCTGACCGACGTGCGCCACCGCCGGCTGAAGCTCGGGAAAGTGAAAGTGATAGGTATTCTCGTCAAACTCGGGCGCGTTGTCGTTCTGGTCTTGAATGGTGATCGTCAGAGCGGTCTCCGTTTGCCACGCCCCGTCTGCCGCTACAACCTACAATCAAATGGACGATACTAGATAAAAATTGTTTTAATTCAAGTATAAAATAAGCGAAGCAAGTATCTTTATAAAACAACTTTCAGGAAACTTTAACATAATTCAAGAGAAGAGACATAATATCTCCTTAAATATAATTAAAAAAAACTAATTTAATTTAATTTTTAAAAGATATTTTAATATAAATGTATAAATCTGAAAAACAGTCTGAATGTTTGTATTGTTTGAAATTCTGTGCTGTAAACATTTTTCTTCCACAAAAATATGATTCTAAAAAATTTTTATTTTATTAAAATACAAAATATTATAGATTTTTTGTCAATATATATAACGTTAAAGATGAGATCCTACCTTTAGCAAATACTCGTCTTGCTCCTCCCTGTCGAGGTGTCCAGTCACAGTCACGTTTCCGCTCAGAGTGTGGATAAAAAACTTTTCTCCCGGATTGTCGGTGAAGCTGTAACTGACGTTCGCATTCTGGCCGATGTCCAGATCGCTGCTGGTGATACGTATGACGAAAGTGCCGATCTCCGCGTTCTCCGTCACGTTGACGCTGAACAGTCGCGTGAAATGCGGTGGATTGTCATTCTTGTCCAGAACGGTCACCAGCACGGTGGTAGTTCCGGTTAACCGCGGGTGACCTTGATCCCTGGCTTCTACAATCAGTTCGTAGGACTCGATCTATGAAAGACACAAATAAAATTAATTAAATAATTATAATGAATAATTATATATGTGTTTTCTCAGAATTCTTAATTGTTCTCTATACTAATATTGTAAATAAATATAAGTTATATAATCGTAATTATAATGTAACTGTAATTATGCATTTATGTACCTCTTCGCGATCCAGCTTAACGTTGGTCTCGATCTGTCCGGTATTGCCATCGATGACGAAAGTATCGGAAAAGTTGTCAACCAAATGATACACGACCTGACCGTTTTCGCTAGAATCGCGGTCTCTCGCGGCGACTTGGCCGACGAACAATGGCGGATACTCGTCCTCCGCCACGGTAGCGTTGTAAATGGCCGCCTCCATCACCGGCGCATTATCATTGGCATCCGTGACATTCACCAAAAGCTGTAGAACGCTCCGCAGCGCGGGCGTATCCGAGTCGCGAACCTCAATCCAGGCTTCGTAATGCGGCGCCGTTTCGTAATCGAAACCGGACGCGACCACGACCTAAACAAAATCCCCGTAATAACGAGATATAAAAAATTATAAATATTTCCGCGACGATAAATAACGTGTTACATTAAATTAAAATCGAGAGGGATTGAATCGCTTCTCGAAAATACATTCCATCTCAATTACCTCTCCGGTGTGAGGCTCGATTCTCAGAGCGTCCCCCACGTTACCGCCGGCCATGCCGTATATCAGATTACTGGCCGATCCACTCTTCGGGGTGGTCGCGCTCAGCTTGGTGATCACCCTGCCCTCGGGCACATCTTCGGGTAGCGTGAATCTCGTGCTAACGCTCGAGCGGAAGCTGGGGAACAACTGCCGCTCCCACAGGTGTATCATCAGATCGGCGGTGACATGTTGGGGCTCGATGCCGCAGTCCGACGCCTGAATCTGCAGCTGATAGGTCGTCTGGTCGCCGGCGAGTTCCTGAGCGGCGCGTATCACGCCGTTATCGAGATCGATGGCGAACCGATCGGCGTCCTTGCCTTGCAGTCGATAAACGATCCGCGAGTTCTCGCCGTCGTCATCATCGGTTGCTTTCGCGCCGAACACGAAATCGCCTTTAAACGTGAAAGAAAAAAACTCGACGTTAGCATTTTATTTCTTAATTGAAATAAAACCGCAAACAATTTAACGATCTCTTTGATCGGTAGGATCGACACATTTAATTATACGCGTTTGAGTATTACTATCGTCGAAAGATCTCATTTACCAGGTTTGGTCGCGCTTGGAACGTAGGCCGTGTATCTGGGACTGGAGAAGCGGGGCGCGTTGTCGTTCACATCCATCACCGAGATGGTCAGATTGACGGTGGAGGCACGTGGCTCCGTTGGGCTCGAATCCCGGGCTACTAAAGTCAGATGGTACACGGCGGTCTGCTCGCGGTCCAGCGGCACCGTGGTGAATACTTCACCTGTATCGGAATCCACGGAAAACCGCTCCGCTTTGTCCCCAAGTAGGCGATAGTATTAAAATTAAAGTTAAAAAAAGAAAAAGAAAAAATTAAATTAAATAAATTAAAACATTCTTGTTACAATTAAACCTGTCATTTTTTTATATGGGATTATATTAATTACGCAATATCGGTTAAGGATCTACCTTATTTTTGCATTGAGTCCTTCATCCTTATCCGTGGCACGCGGTTTGGTGACCCACGTTCCTGCAGGCATGTTTTCCATCACGGCGGCCTTGTAGTCTTGCCGGGCGAACTCGGGATTATGATCGTTCACATCGAGGACGACGATCTTGACAATGCCCGAACCGGTGAGGGGCGGCGAACCTGCAGAGAGGCGCAAAACGCGAATTTTCAGTCGTGTTGTCGTCGGAAGATCATAAAGACAACCGTCATCGCGCGCTGTCACTCTAGCCCGGTTTTTTGCGCTTTTATCGTTATTTCGCGAACCGTAACGCTACGCCGATCCCGTAGTTGGGTCAGTGGAGCGATTATTTCGCTAAATTTACGGCCCGCCTCTCGCGGGCCTCCTTTATGACGGTTTAAATCGGTCCAAACGGAAGGTATATAAACCAGGGCTATAATTTTAACAGAATATTATTACAGGGCTCTGTGTGTGACGCCGATCTGACTCGTGAATTTAGAACTTGCCTGCATTTGTCGTGAAATATACCTTCGACGAACGATATATCGACAAAAATTGTCGCTTCTGCAGTATTATTGCGAAATTAGTCCGGAACAAAGGATGCGTAAAGATTGGTGAACGATAAAAAAAGCTCGACTGAAGCAAAGGTCTATTTTTTATTTTACGGCAAATTATATTTTTTAAATGCATCTCAGTTTTAAATAATTGCTTAATATATAACTACGTTCATCGTAAATTTACTATTTCATTCATCCTGGAATGAGTTGAGAATCGAGAGTTGCATCGGTGAGCTTAAATCGAGATCATGCCTACTATATTTTCGACGTTTTCGCTGAATAAGAATCGCGTTTCTGCTACCTCTTGAAGAATCTCTCGTTTCTAAAATTTTCTCGTTCAGAGACATCTTAAATAATTTCCGTATCCGACGAAAATGATTCTCGATTGTTGACTCTCTTGGAAGAGCCACTCGCGCAAGATTAAAGAGCGGTGCAACGAGATAATTGAGGTCGCGGATGGGGTAGGAAAAGCGACCTTTCTCTCTCTTTTCTAAGTCGCGGAAGTAAGCCGCAAGCGAGCGACGAGATAACGGCCAGTTAATTCAGACGCGACATATACATGCATTCTCCATACGATGCCCATTGTGCTACCGCTTATGATTTACGGATTGAGGTACCGGGAGTAACGACGTTACAGTGCAGGCGGAAAAGTCTTAATTGCGCCGCCTAAAACGCGCCATTACTCTCCCGAGGGGTGAGCGAGGGAGGGAATGGGGAGACTCGATTTCTCTGATTGCGCACCAGGTATCTATATATATATGGCGAGCGTTGGCGTAGCCTAGGGCCACGTGCCCGCACTGACGTACACCGTTCAATCACGCGGTGAATCGAGGAGCAGGAGAAAGGAAGGGAGAGAGGGACGGAGACTGTGCGACTCTGAAGCCGTATTTATCACATTCTAGGGTAAATATCTCGCAAGAATACAGAGATTGGATATATGTACATATATTACGGACCGCGTTAAAATTAGTTGCGGAATCCTCTACTCTCACTTGCTTAAGGATACATCTGACGATTAGAGATAAGAGTTAATAATAGACAAGAGTCACAAAAGACGTCGCTCGGTAAAATTTCTCAAGAATGTCGATTCATCGAGTATCGTGTTTCCTTCAGAAAACGTGATACTTTAGAAAGGCAGTAAATAATAATTTTGATTTTTCTAAATACTAGAAATTCTGACGCCGCGTATCTAAAATTGCGATAGTTGTGTAATAGATTGTATGATTCTAAAATCATTTATAGATTTCATTTAAATTTCTATCGTTTTATGCCATAATGAATGAATTATTAGTTCTCAAATTTTAAATATTTCAATCTCGGCTCCGCAAAGTTAATGATTCATTATCGCGGAGTAACGGTAAAGTTTCGATTAGAGATGTAAGAACGATGATGAGCAATTACAGCCGATGAAAGCGGGAAAGTAAAGGAAATGCGTAGTAGAAGAAGAATGAGAAATCATGCAGCGCAATGTAACAATCGCAGCGCGCATAATAATGTAGCAAGCAAGCGAATTCCCAGAGATTCACAGTCTGAAAAAATGACCCACTTTGCATAATTTGCTTTCCGTCTAATTCCGGTAATGAAGCGACTGACTCGTTACTCGCCGATTCTCACGGAACGGGATTTCGGTCTTGGCCGATCAGGGATTTAAAGAAAACTGCCAGTCTTGTGGCACAAATATAAGGAAAAGACTAAGATGCGTATATAGAGAAAAGTATTTTTTTTCTCGAAAGAATTTTAAAAAAATAGTTTGCAAGGTGCAAGTGAGCCTTGTTCACCATACTGTAATAAGGAGTCATATGTAACGATCACAGAAGAGGGAATTTTCTGTCTATATCTAGTACGCGGACGCACAAGGGATCGCAAGGGCTTCGTATTCGCCGCCAATACGAGATAAAAAATACGTACCCCAAGAGTGCACGGTATATGAATAAAGTAGAATATAATGAACGAGTGCTCAGGCAATATCCAAAAGACGCAAGCACCGGAGAGGAGGGGTGACGAGACCCGAAACGCGCGACTGGAAGAGAGGGGGAGGGGGTGGACGGTGGATGAGAGGGAAGCGAGGTGAAGAGATGGAAAAAACGAAACAGAGGGTAAGATAGATACCGGGTTGGGGAATAAGGCCCGCGGTCGAACGGGAGTGCCAGAAGAAGGGGAGGGGACGATGTGCAGCGCGCCGAGGAAGGTATTCGAGACCGATTATCATAATCGCGCGTCATAACTCTGCCTGGCCTGTCTACCTTGTCGGGGACCGATTGGGCCATCCGAGCCATCGCGACCGAGGGCGGAACGGGCGGAGGGGGAGGGAGAGGGAGATAGAGAGAAGGGGTGAAGACCGAGGAAGGGAACCGGGGGAGGACTACCGGCTTCTAAGAGGAAGGAAAGGAAAAGGGAAAAAAAGGAGCCTTTAAGGGGGAGGAACTGCCCACCGCTTAAAGAATCTCATCGAACAACCCACAAATTTATATCCAATTTGTATATTACCGCTCATTACTTAAATCCACCGCCGTACATCGTCTATCGTCTCTCATCTATGTGCTGCTGCGCTGCAGCTACTGGCGAACAGATGACATTTCGGTGGATCATCGATTGATGGATGGCCGATTGCACGGTTCGCATAAAGAATTAGCGTGAATCGATCACGGGAATAATTACGCGAACGTTGAAGCCAATCGCGAATAATAGCAATCGCATCGTGAAATCAAATAGTTAATAGAGTATGTGGTTTTCCGATTTTAGAATCGTTTCTATTAATATATAGTAGTAATATTATAATTAATATATTATGTATAAAATAAAAATAATGAAAATATATAGAAATATAGACAAGAATAAAATAATATATTAAAGTTATTATAACAAATTTAAAGTTATTATAACGAAAAAATTGATATATTAACGTAAAAGATATTTGCAGAAGAGATTCCAAAAACGAACGTTTAAATAGAAACTAAATATGATAATAGTGCAAAGCGTATAGTAATTTAAATTGAAAATAGATAGTGATTACAGTAACATAATTAAGTTACCAATCTTCAATTTGTCACTATCGTTAAGAAAATAATTAATGTATCACCTCCCCCAAGATACAATATGTTCCTAGCAACAGTCCTCCTTACAGCTCGTGCTCTTGTAACAAACTACCCTGAGTCCGTTAATTGCGTCCGTATCTGCATCATTACGATGCAGTTTTCTCTCATCTATACGCGATTGGGTATTTAATAGATAGTGGAGTGTCTCACCCGTATCCATGGCTACTAAGGTGAGCGTGTATTCGGGCACCAGCTCTCTGTCCAACGGTCGAAGAAGTGATATGTCGCCGGTGCTGGCATTTATGCGAAATAGATCCGTGTCGCCCTCCTTAAGGAAGTACCTGACTTGATCGTTGTACGGTGGCGTATCCGCGTCATATGCCTTAACCTTCAATTTGAATAGACGCAAAAAGATGCTTTAGCTCTCGTTAAAATAGTCGTACGTCGTGAAAATGAAGTCCAGAGAGTCAAACACATAATTAAAGAACTATATGTACCTGTATGACAAAACCGCCGCCTGGCGGCACCATGTTCTCCATAACGTGCGCCAGATAGGGAGAATCGAGGAAAACCGGCGCGTTGTCGTTGATATCGAGGACAGTGATGGTGACTTGGGTGGTATCGCTGCGCGGTGTCTCGCCTACTTCCGCCGCGCAATCCTCGCTGCGGATCGTTAGGTAGTAGCAGGGTTTGCGCTCAAAGTTCAGGTTCTTCGCCACCCGAATTACCCCACTGTCTTCCGAGATCGTAAAGTCCCTATTGTCGTCTCCCATAGCGATGCTGTATCGCACTCTGCCGTTCGCGCCCTCGTCACGGTCCATCGCCGACACCTGAGTTTTGTTGAGAAAAATTTCAGGCATTTTGAAGAAATTGCATCTTTCTTTCTTATCCTGCAGTTTTCTTCTAGATCGCAACGATTTTACTGACCTGAAGGACACTGGCACCAATACTGGCGTTCTCGGCAACGGTGGCGGAGTATTGCCTGGGATCGAACACTGGCGAGTTGTCATTTTCATCGAGCACCATAACAGTGACGGTGGTCGATGACGATCTCGATGGCTCACCGCGATCTCTAGCGGTGACTCCCAGGGTGTAGTTAGACTTTTGCTCGCGGTCCAGCGGTCCAGAGACGCGCAGCAGTCCATCCACCAGGCCCAGAGTAAACGGCAAGTCGTTGTCTTCGAGCATGTATTCAACATAACCGTTTCGACCCTCGTCTCGGTCGATGGCCTTTATCGCCATCACCACTGTGTTACTCGGCGCGTTCTCAATTATCGATATCTTCGTGGGCGATATGAACTCCGGCGACATATCGTTCACGTCCAGCAACACAACTGTCACCTACATCGTACGAGCGAGAGGATAATGGACTCGATCTTCTCTTTACTCACAAGTATGTATGTACATTACAAGTATGTATACTTATACATATATGTATACAATAAAAAAATTGTTTCTAGCATTCACAAACCTGCACCGTGGAAGACAATGGCCGAGCTGGTGGTAACGGACTGTCAGTGGCGCTCAGCACCAGGTTGTACAGCGGCTTACGTTCGCGATCGAGGAGTCGGCGCGTGAAGAGGGTACCGTTGGGTGCCACCCCGAAGTTCCCGTCCTCATCACCGGCAGCGATGGCGTACAAGATCCTGCCATTGTCACCGGAGTCCAGATCCTGAGCGGCTACGGTAAGCACGGGCGTGCCGACGGTCGCATTTTCCACGATGTCGGCAGCGTGCGGACCGGTCTCGAAGATCGGCGCGTTGTCGTTTAGATCGACGACGTTGCAGTACACCGTCACGGTGGATGACAGCACCGGCACGCCGCCGTCCGTCGCTTGCACGACGAGAATGTAGTGCTGCACCTATATAGACGACAAGATATAAGAATCATTTAATATAACGAAGGTATAATCTATGCAGGATGTATGTGTTTCTCGTCTTACAAGCTGTTTTCTCCCCACGAAACTATTAAACATAGTAAAGAAATGTTTTTTTATGATCCATTAGGACCTTTTATGTGACAGATAGAGGACTGTCTCGGACACTCTGAAAAAAAAAACGAAGAGAGGGAGAAGAATCTCCTTCTCTATTTATTTTTAAACAAAACATAATAAATTTTTATAATGGAATAGTTATAAATTTTTACATCCGAATAAAAATTTCATCTAACTTAATAATATTTATTTAAAAGATCCTTTTGCTAAAAAGTTATGACAAAATATTGCCACAAACATGACATTTTCCACAAGATTCTGTCGAAAGAAGAAATCCCTGAAAGAATAGAACTACGTTTTGTATCGACAAAATTGCGAGAAAATTAACTTTCGTTCAATTATCGCAAATCGATTGGTAACAGATCCTTTTAAGAGAGTCGTAATTAACCGTTTTGCAAGGCAGGACTAAAATGTCAGTTTCGGCGCGATCGTTATTTTCTTTGTTTCCGATACACACATGTGTTTCACGATAGACACGATAGACTGCATAGCCCCTTAATGACGTTGGTGTGTATCTGGAAGGGCATTACGTTGATGAAGGGTTCTATAAGCTACCCTTATCTCGTTCCTCTCGCTCACGCTTTCCCTCGCTTCTTCCTTCGTCTCTTTCTCGATAAAAGCTGCACCAATACACACTTAGTCTTCATTGTACTCTTACACATGCATATCATAAAGCGTAAAACAGTGGCGTAGCCAACGGATTGCGTAAAAGTAAGTGTTAATAGTATTATTGCAATATTAAAATATTAAAACGTAATAATATACTTGAAAGAGAGAGAGAGAGAGAGAATAGTTTCAAACATCAGGTAGCTTTAAACAATGATTTTTTTGCAAAGAACTATTATCCTTCGAAGAAAAACTATATTATTAATGAAACTATGGAAAATGGTTATTCTCTTTTTTGTGTTTTTTCATTAAACTGTGTAATTAGTCCTTTCTCCTTTTTTATGTAGAAGATTATCGCGAGTTTTTCCTTATAGCATCTCGGTTACGCTATTGGCGCGATTCGCACTGTATGTGCGCCAAAGTTCGCTAACTATTGCTTGTCTCCGAAATACAGAGAGATCGCCATTAAAGACTGTCTGTTCCGCGATCTGTTCGATTGTTATAGCGTTAAACCCTAAATTCTAGCATTTTGCCCACCGCTCCGGATAATATAATGGTGCGCTTGAATACAGAGATGGTGTTCGTGGTTATAATCGCTGCCCCGGGCGTCCGACGCGTTTTTTAGCATCTTTTAGTTCCGATCATGATCCAAACGGAACTTCATCTCGACAGGCCGCTGTTAACCCTTTCGTATCCATCGATCGTTATGATGGACATATCTATAGTATTGATATGTAAACATATAACTTCAGAATCATCCGCGGTATCGTCTCGTTCCAGTTCATGAACATGTTCTCTGGACTGCTGGATCATTTAATAGCGTATCTCTCTCTACGTGAAATAATAAATAGAGAGTCACGGTATGTCAAATCAAAGGGAAATATTTTTCAATCGATCGTGCCTATGATCGACGAAATTTCGAACGTCATAAAATATCGTGAGATATTTCTCGAACAAGTTTATAAACCATTTATAATCACGAGGAGAAACCCGTTCTCATGAAAAATTCACATTTCTCTATTAATAAATAAAGATTTCGATTCACGAGGGATATAATCGAACGATCGTTGTCTGATTTACAAATAATCAGCGTCGATCGATAACTTCATTAACATCACTGTCATCTTTCGATCAAAATCCGGACTGTTAAATTGATCCATCGAAAGATTCCATACGCGAATATTCATTAACTATAATATTTATAATCATGGAGAAACGAGATTCACATGCAAAATTCAAATCCATCTGTGGATATAAATAACAGGTCTGGAAATGGCGGAGAGGATCGTCTGAGATTTACAGACAATCGTCGTCTATAACTTTATCCGCGGCGTATCTCTCTCTACGTGAAATAATAAATAGAGAGTCACGGTATGTCAAATCAAAGGGAAATATTTTTCAATCGATCGTGCCTATGATCGACGAAATTTCGAACGTCATAAAATATCGTGAGATATTTCTCGAACAAGTTTATAAACCATTTATAATCATGAGGAGAAACCCGTTCTCATGAAAAATTCACATTTCTCTATTAATAAATAAAGATTTCGATTCACGAGGGATATAATCGAACGATCGTTGTCTGATTTACAAATAATCAGCGTCGATCGATAACTTCATTAACATCACTGTCATCTTTCGATCAAAATCCGGACTGTTAAATTGATCCATCGAAAGATTCCATACGCGAATATTCATTAACTATAATATTTATAATCATGGAGAAACGAGATTCACATGCAAAATTCAAATCCATCTGTGGATATAAATAACAGGTCTGGAAATGGCGGAGAGGATCGTCTGAGATTTACAGACAATCGTCGTCTATAACTTTATCCGCGAAAAAAAAAAAAAATTAACATGTAACACACATGCATGCGACTCTTCTCTTCCGGTATACCAACCTGCTCATAGTCGAGACTCGCGGTGAGCGTGAACACGCCAGTGCTCGGATTCAGCGAGAACACGTCGTTCGCCCAGTCGGAGATGAGCACGTAGCTCAGTTGACTGTTGGGCCCCTCGGCGTCGACGTCCGTCGCGACGACCTGGCCCACGCGGCTGCCCCTGGGCACGTTCTCCGGGATATCGAATGAATAAGCCGTGCTTTGGAAGGTCGGCGCGTTGTCATTGGTGTCGGTAACCTGCGAAGGATGATTTTTTTTATTAGTGATGAAAAACGATATATAAACCGCCTTAGAATTATATTTCTTTCACATCGTCCTCGTGTAGACGATGAAATTTTTCTATGCTCGAAATAATTTTTACTTTTTTTAGAGCGTTGTATCTTTACCTGGAATGCCGTGAAAATCTTTTATATCTAATGTTTAAACGCAATCCCAAGGGTTAAATGCCTACTTCCTTTCCAGGAATTTTCCCCCCACGAGAACTTGTTCCTTTTAAAGAGAGCCGTTTCAAAGGACACAGTGAGTTGCTTTCATTTTGTGCGTACCTTTCGTCCTTACTTGTGAACGCAAAGTAGAAAAGGTTTACTCATACATGCACCTCTTAATAGACCCGGAAACCGGGTACGATCTTAAAATAAACACTCGGGGAATAAAATCGACTCGAATCTTGCGCGCACTCGACGTCATTCTTGGATAAACACCGCCGCCACCGGAAATATTCGCACCGCTCTCCGCGCTCGCCTCATTCGCCTTCGAATTATTGTACCTCGCTCCCTCGCGGTAGTCCCGACGCGAGAAGAAAACATTCTCAGGACTCCGCGGGCTATTTATCCATGTAACAATGCGCTCATTGTGATCGATCGTCGGCGGTAAAAGACGAGCGACGGAAGAGGACGGTCCTCCGATCGAGGGAACGAGAGAATAAGTAGCATCGGTATATAAATATAATTTTCATCACGTGTAACATTATAACATCTCCCGATGAACGCTTTTATATGCTAAATTGAAAAATGTAATTTTAATATCTTTTCGCAGCGATCCTACAGTCGTTTAATTAATTTAGAGATATGCGCTTGCTGTTGCAAAAAATATGTGCAACGTAATATGAAGGTTTTTCGTAGAACTGCTATTTATGTAGACAAAAATCTGCATTATATTCGGAAAAACGGACTGATTATGAGAACATATTTGAAAAATCGGCCTAATGAAGAAACATCGTCAAGTTCATAGATTATCGAACGTATCTGACAGAAAATTGAAATAATTCTACAAATAATTCGATATAATCGATCGAAGGCGCGGTTAGCGCGCGTTAATGTCGCGGACGTTTCATTTATTCGACATCGTTAAATTTCACGCGACGCCGATAATTTCGTCTTTTTATCGTCCGATAGAATCACGCGGCGAATATCCAGAAACGAACAGTAGATTTACATTTTACATTTCCGCAAAGAGACAGAGAGGGGAGGGGAAAAAAATTTACATTTTTCGCGCATTTGTCAACCTAAAACGAGTAGCAGCCGGCTCTCTCTGTCGTTCGCCGAAAACACGGATGTGCAATAATTTAAACAATAAATGATACCTCGGCAATAACGCTAATCTCACGTACATGTATAAATTATATATAGATATGTAAATTATCCTATATTTCTGCGTGGCGAAACCGTGCACACGGTTGCTCTAACGCGCGCCGAGTCTAATTTAATTTAATTTATCTATCCTGTAAATCGGACGGAAACTAGACATCGCGATAACGTTTTCGCATATTATTTCTTTTTGTCATGCTAAAAAGAAGCTTGCGAAATGTCTGCGATTCAACAACGTCGTTAACGGAGGCTGACTATTTATGTGTTAATTATTTCGTTTGCTTCGATAACATCTTTTTCCCCTCTCTTGTTCCTCATCTTATATTATATATAAATTTAAAAAATAGAGAGAATACCAGTGAATTTATATATGTTACATATGTAATACAATTCTGTATTATTACACGAAAAACTCATCATCACCGCGACGTAAAAGCAATCAAGTTTTGTTATCACTCGTAACTGTTTATTCGATATTACAGCAAAACTAATTTTGATATAATCAAAAGATGATACTATAAATTGATGCATGTCCCTAGAGATAACTCGACAGACTCAAAGTTTTCCGGAGAACGAGGTACGCGTTACATACAGTAGAATAAGGTGGACAAGGTTTTTGATTAAAGAGGGCTCGGAGGCCGTTTGCAAAAAGCGACGGTGTCTCGAGACGACAGTGGATGACGAGGAGTCGGCGAGTAGGAAAGAGAAGACAAAGAAAAAGAATCAGGACTGGGGTAGGAGTTGAGGAGAGAAAAAAAAAGAGATGCTTTAAGTCTCACAATCAGCAAAGGATGAGGGGAGAGGAGAAAAGGAGTAGATGGGGCCCCAGATTCTGCAAGAGATGTGTCGTTTCGCGAGCGGTAACAATATATACATATTTTCTCTTTTTCTCTCTCCTTTTCTCTATGTTGCATATATATAAATTATTTAAATATTAATATAATTGATATTTAAACCCGCAAAAAAAGACACAAAAATTTACACATCAGATACTTCTAATATCGCTCTCATTTCGACTTTCAGTTATTCATAACTACAACAAGATACGCTATATTTATATGCAAAAAACTTGAGAGTGACTTTAAAGATATGCTCGATATTCCTCGAATCGAGAAATATTCGTTAATTAAATTTATTCTTGAGAATACGGAGAATAGAGGGAGTGCCCTAACTTTGTATTAGAATTATTCTGGTAGCGCTATTACTACTCCATCTCATTCCTTTCTTCCGCGATGACTTCGAACGATGAACGATGCGACGAGAAGATGGAAGCGTGAGGAGGGGAGGGGGAGGGGGAGAAGAGGCAGAATCGAAGAAGAGATTCTCCAAGGGGTTCGAGAAGGTCGGTCGAGAAAGAAATGGTTAAGGTTAGCGGGAGAAGAACACACGGATGATGGGTGAAGAGAGGAGGGGAACGCGGCACAAGGGGATCAGATATATAAGAGGCCAAAAGGGAGGCCAGATTCCGCGACTGTCGGCCAATAGAGAAACGGCTCGCTTTCAACGGAGAAAACCCGAAACCACCGACCGAGCTATGATCGGGTCCAGCATTCCTCTCTCTTTTGCCTTTAAGGATATAGAATAGCGGGGCGCGCGAGCGCGCGCGGCAAGCAAAGAGGTCCTTAAAAGAATTCCGGCCATTACGCATCATAAAAATAATTTTTGCGATTGTCTCCGAGGGGCCCCGGCCCCGGCTCCGGTGGTCAGGGCCTCTTCTTCGGGCTTTGTTAAACGGCCGGGCTCCCTCGACCGGATTCGCGTTTTTTATCGCCTCTCGGTTGTGCCGCGTAATGAATTATAAGGCGGGATGCGCGCGATACTCTTACCGAGCACGCCTCGCGATAGCTCGCGCTCAAGGATTAGGGTTAATGAACAGAGGTGTGAATAGTTTGTGATTTTGTCCGACTTGACTCAAGTATTTCTCCAATGCGGATACTTCATTAAATCGATAATTTAGCAGCGATAGTAGCGTAGCATGGGAGGTCGGAAAAAATGTAATTTAACCGAAAAGAAGATAATTCCTCGTGCAAAAATAATTTCAAATCAAAAATAATATTAAAAGATATATAAAAAGATATATTTTGTATAAAGCTTTGTTTTCGAAAATTAATATTTTGAACATTGGACATACTTACTGAAAGATATCTATAAAAAAGTGAAGGAGATCATCGCGAGACGCAAGGCAATAGCGAGAGGCATCAGAATTTAAAGGCTAAATTTGCCTTGTCTCACCGATCAGGAATTCTGATTGAAATCTCGGATAGTCGTGCGATTTATCACTCGCTCTATCTCTCTCTTTTTCTCATTCTGATGCAATGACCGATCCGCGCGCGAATCGATTCTTTCACGGCGTTTCGTAATCGTACGTAGAAACGAACTCGATCTTTTTCATTAGGACGAGGGACGGGCGTGCGCCATTGTTGCATATACACGTGCAGAACGAGTGTGTGAGCAATCCGCATGGCTGGTCGCCGGACGATCGTAGATTTATCTTCCGAGTGATGCTTGCGCGGGTACGCAATAGCGCAACATTGTTCTGCTCGAGATCGTTCGTTGCGATAGACAACGCTGACTTATGCATATGGCATTATAACCGTACACCCCCCGACTTTCCTCCTCTTTCTCTCCGATTACCGCCATTAATTGAAAAATATCAGATTCATTCGCGACTCACGCCCGCAAACCAACATAGCGGTTCAACTAATTTTTAATTAATTTCGACTTTTTGTGCTTAATTGATTTAAAACGGCACCGCTTTTCTCATATTTCGATGAATCGATTGAATTTTGTCTTTTATTCTCAATATTTTTTTACATGAATATAAATTTTTTCCAATCAAATTAAACTAGGTTTCTTTTATTTAAACTAAATAAAAGAAACTAAATATTTTTAAAGAACAAAAAAAAAGGAGAAACTATTTCGGTTAGAAAATAGAATCAGTTAAGAATCTTCTTCTCTTCCTAGATTAGACAAATTTCATACTATGTGCCGTATCGTGTTGCCTGGCTCGATTCCGTTAGAGATTGATTGCCTTTAAATTGACCGGTATAATTGGTCTCGCCGTCTCTCGGCAATAACGATATCCCACGTAAGTACACCCATAAATTAATTCGTCGCTGCGCTTATTTAACATCTCGCTCTCTCTCCCTCTCCATCTCTCTTTCTCTTTCTCAAGAGAGAATATCTTCACTCATGCTTCATTCGTTACTCATGAGATCCTTCATTCGTTAATCGCGCAATTGATCCTTTCGAGCGAGGAGAGATTAGCCGACGCCGAGTTTGTCCGTTCCAACAACGGCCAAATTCCATTTTACGAGAGTATATACCGGTTATATTATTTATAAAAGAGAAGAGGAATATATCGTCGATATGAAGCAATAGGTTACAGTTATAGTAGGAAGTTATCGGCGACCTTTCAGCACGGGGACGTGTCTAATGCATTATCGATTTGACCCCCGCTCGTCGAGCATTCCGATACCCGGGAACAATCGACCGATCTCTCTGGATCTTAGACCATAGCTTTCCCCATCCCCCGGAATGCCACTTGCGATATTTCGCGATGCATTCGGAGAGAGTAGCCGTGTTTCGTATATTCCTAGTTACGTTGCTTTTCTTATCAATTTCGCGAGACTCGGCGACGATCAGTCGTGAGACAAGGATTGGAATTTTTAAAGTAGCTAGTACGTAAGATAGTAATCGATATATGGGTGTGTATAAGCGACATACGAAATTATCAATACTGCTACTGGTATCTGCAAGAATGTCTCTCATATTCACTCAGCGAGATCTTTCCATTTTTAAAGCAGATTTAGATATAGTATCGTTTACGAGGCTTTTGTTTCGAATATCTTCACAACTGTAACGAATTCTTACCTGTATGTTAAGCATGATATCCCGGTGTTGCAGGCCATCATCAGCGCGCACTCTCAGCATATATCTCTCCTTCGTTTCCCTATCGAGGGCCTCCGCTAGTCTTAGCTGGCCGGTGGTCAGATGCAGCTTGAATTGGCTCTGCGTTCCGTCGTCATCGTCTTCGTCGGCTGACGGCTCGCTGCGACTGTCAGGACGATGATGATGACGATGATTCGGCACCAGAGTGTAAGTCAGGGTACCGATGGTGTCCGGATCGTGGGCCTTGAGTACCGTGACAACGGTGTTGGGCGGCGCCTCCTCGGATATCTTGAATTTCCACGGGCCCGGACCCCACGTAGGTGCCACGTCGTTCTTATCCAGCACTGTCACGCGTACCTGCGGCAACAAGAGGAAGACGATTAGAAGTGGCTCGCCGAGGTCATTGGTCATTCAGATGACTCGAATTGAGTTGTCGGTGACTCGACGATAACGGCGGGTATTGTCGGTCGGTAAGGAATGTTTGGGAAATGTTATGCTGGGAAAGTGTCTCGTGTTCTCGGTGGAAGCCTTCCAAGATCAATTATATATTGGTTATCGTAGAAATTTTCAATTGCGTAATTAAAATTTTGTCGCACGACACATTGTATCGCGGGAAACGAGAAGCAATGAATTTTTCTTCGATATAATAATTTCTGCGACAGATGCTGAAAAGCATATAATTATAGAGAGCGTGAGATAAAAAAAGCAAAAGATTAATTTTGACATACATATATCGAGATCCGATTATATTCGATACGAGAATTCGCGACATGAAGATTCGGTTAACCCCGGGAACATAATTACATGTCGAAAATTACGTGTCGAAGGAAACGTACGAAGGCCACTGCGATGCCAAAGTCACGGTATGCATGCGAAGACCCGTGAGAAAGTTAGTTTTTCGATCCCGCTCTTGTGCATGTCTCATTTCATTAAATTCTCAGTCACGTCAACAGCTTCAAGGTTTGTATGCGACTACAAGCAACTGATATATCGAGAAATGAGATAGTATACGAATCATTGGAAAAGTATAATGCGAAATTAATAGACAAAAGAATGATATAATATATATATATATATTCTCGAAAGAGATGATTACAAAAAATGTAGAGCCACACGAATCTGCGATGGATCACTGATGTAAATTCGTAAATTATAAAACATCAATGATCGATCAATTTAAATATCTAAACTATTTCTAATGGCAATATCTACGCAAATAATAAATACATTTTTTATTTGCGTTAGAAAATCAAACAGCGAACTCGATTAGAATACTTTCTTGTATAAATTCTCTCTCTCTTTCTCTCTCTATCTCTATCTGTCTTTCTCTTACGAAAGAGAGGCATACATATAAATTGTTTTTCCTTTACGGCCAGCCGATGTAACCTCGTGGCCATGATAATATTCTCTTGTGTACACATAATCCGGCCGACAGATAAAATACGCGGACATCTCTCGGATATATATAGAAAGCTTTTATGTAAGCGGGCGATCCAAAGACGCGGGCGCATTTGTCTTCCTAGTAATTAGTCGGATCCCTCTCCTTACCCCTTGTCATTGACGGAGTGGTTACCATCGATTATTGCTCTCTAGGCGTGCCTATATATCGTCGTCGGTGGAACAACGCGTGGATGACGAAACAAAAGTCCAGACACGCGGTGCGAGAGTAAAGCGGATTAAGCGAGAATAAATCGACGCGATCCCGTGACCTACAGCCGCAATAAATCGCGTGTAACCCAGATGCACCGATCGTTACCCAGATGGATGCGCTTATGCAACTTGCGCATGATGGACGCGTGTCGCGCTCGTAGGCGATCTCGGACGGCGATCGATATCGCTCGTGTGTTATTAAAGGGTTACGCCACCCTGGAACTTTCAATAGAATGCAAGAGAGAGAGAGAGAGAGAGAGAGAGAAAGAGATTGTATGTAAGAAAAAAGCGTGTGTATATGTGTGTATAAATGTATAAATAAAATCAATATCCCTTTATTATAATAAAATTTCTTAAAAATATTTAAAAATTTTTGGAAACATTTTTTTTCGACAATTACATAAGAGAAATATTATATGTTTATGTAATATCTTTTTGGGGAATTTAACTTGAAAAGTAAAGGGAGGAGAAAATTTTCTTTTGCACAAAAAAGTTTAAATTTTAAATATTTTCCATAAATATTTAATCGTATCGTATAACACGCACAATCGGTTTAACTGACTATATTCTAAGATTGCTTGTCGGATGACAGTTTCATTTTTTTTTTGTTCACGAATCAAATGTTAGATCAATGAAACGTTATGAGTCGGTATTATCGACTGCCAAAAATCGACACGATAAGGGACATCGATAACGAGCCGAGCCTGGGCCGGGAGCTCGTTCGCCTAATGTATTCACGTGTATTCACCGACGTTGTTCGACGAGATAAATTTATGCAAAGTCCGTCGAAGCGGGTCCACCGATAATTATAGGAGGGCCTTCGCGTTGTCATTAATAGCAGCTATCGGCAGTCACGTGTTAAATGGCCGCGACGTATCTTAAAACTTCCCGACATAGTTCACACGATCCACAAGATTGACTCTTATCTCGTAATGATGCGATAACGGCGCGGATCGCTCGCCACCCATGCATGATGCCTCTGTTAAGCGAACCGATACTTATTTCAGGCAGGCGAAAACGCAGCCTGCGTGAATAACGCGCTTCGTCACGATCTCTACGACTGTTTAGCCGTGTCCCATTAAATTCGTGATTTCGCAATTAATTTTAAACGTCACCGCACGCTAATGTTTGTCTAATCAATCGTAAGAATATCACGTACGTTAACCTTTTCGTCAGCCAGGAATATCGATCATTTTGAATGACTCTGATTTCCTAATCAATTAGATAAGATTGACGTATGAAAGAAATATTCTGCATTTTTTATTTGGGATTTATATAATGCATATTTTTAATTGTATTAATTGTTATGTTAATCATAATGCAAAATTCGCGTTGCTTATATCTTCGTTATGTGTATTCGTTAATTATATTATATATTTCATTGATAAAAAATGTAGAAAGATTTGAAAAATAATAGTTGATTTAATTTGCCATCTTAATTCTTCATAATGGTATAAACTTATTTATTGCCGCAACTACACTGTCTGTACAAACCCGCCATTTAGGGCGCTATTGCATCAGTGCCGGTTGGCAGTAATTCTAATTAACTCACTTCCCATCTCCGTCTAAATTATACGCATGACTGTAATCGAGTGAGGAGTAACAATTCGCTAATTTGGAGTTGGTTAATGCAGATTGTCATGCGACGCAATCTTGGATCTGATATTGCGTCGCTGTATGGCCTAATCGCTAATTATCTCAATTAAAAATTCTCAAATTGTCTATGCAATTATGACAAAAAAGAAGAGTTACGTACGAATAATTAGCGAAAAGGTCAATTTTCTTTTTTCAACAATGCGAAGATTCAGATTCGAGAAGCGGTCAATCTTCGAGTCTACAAAATCCAGCGTTGGATCGCGGCGGCGAAGAACGATGTCTCCTACGTCGGCGTTAAAATCACCGCATCGGGAATACCGACGGCTGCGTTAAAACTTCTTTCCGGCTTCGAGATACCGAAATCAGTTTGCGCGTTATATGACCTCTTTCTCTTTCTCTCGACGTCGTTGTCGTCGTCATCGTCGTCCGCGACACTCGGCATCATCGTCGCGAGCGAGCGGAAACAGCAACGAACGAGGCAACGGCAACAATAAGCAGACAAATCAGTGCGGTCATATAGCTGTCTCTCGGCTACAATCCCACCCTCTTTTCTCTCTCTTTCTCTCTTCTCGCTCTACTCCTTCGACGCGGCGCGAGAGCGCGGTATATGGGCGGTAAAGAAACGTCTGGAGAGAGGAGCATTCGGAGTGCAAGGAAAGATGGTATCTGCGTCAGCGCGGTCGGGGATCAGCGGATCGGATCGAGTCGCTCAGCGGGGGTTTCTTTGGGTCATGCACGAAGTGAGTCCCATTCTTCTGAGAGTCCCGCGTTCCACGTCCCACTCCGCCGCTCCCGGGTCCACCGGCTCCTCGGCCTTTCTCGTTCCACCCCTTCGCCTCGCCTCGCATCGCGTCGCGTCGCGTCGCGTCGCGTCGGAGGCATGCATCGAGCGGGCCGATACACTCGAGGAGCGCGATCCCCGTCCCTTTTACCGAACGAGAGGTCCTATGGGTTCTCTATGAGGGGTCGAACCACTGACATCGGCCGATTAATAACGTGCCTTCGTGGGGGCCCGCATGGCCCACGACGACGATGACGACGACGACGACGACGACGACCGAACGAGCAGGAGGCTTAAAGCATACACCGTAATTCTGTATAACGACCGAAGACAATAAGATATGTATCTACTAATAGCCGTTTTCCTCCCGCATTCCGTACGACATATGGAAAAATTTGAGAGAATTGGAAAATATATATAGTAGAAATGTAAGAGCGGAGGAAAAAGAGATGTTATCTGCAAAGCTCATCGATGTTTCTTCTTTTGAGAGATGTTCGACTCGTGACTTTTACTAATAACTTAAAATTCTTTGAAAGATTACAGAGAGTCTTGTACAAATTCATGCAATAAGCTGTAATGGTTTTCTATAAGAAAACCCCTTCATCTTATGTTCTTTAACTCTACAATATTTTTTATTTTTTTAAATTATAGTTTCTATATTAAAAGCATGTATTATGTTAAAAAATTCATTTGAATTTCACATGATTTTCGGCGAACAGTTTTTAAAATAAACGATACCAGCATACGCACGCACAAATGAATTTTGAATAATTATATTTAAATAAAAATCTCTCTCTCCCTCTCTCTCTCTCTCTTCCCCTCCCCCCCCCCCCCCCTCTCTCTCTCTCTCTCTCTGTGCAATATCGCAATTCCATACTTTTTACATGCGCGATGCGTGGAAAATTAAGCGTGAACGTAACAAGCCGGTAATTATCGAGCGTTATAGAGAGATTCGTGAATCAAAGAAGTGTATACTATAAAACTGGCGTGATTATCACGCGATTTTTCGCCGACTTCCCAGCTCGCATGGAATTTGAAATTCCGCGATGTGTATCTGCTAATGGCTGCTTTACGCCTCGCGGTTGTAGGCCGCATTCGTGAGTGACGAGAGCGTGTATGGTTGCAACGGTCGTAGCGTTATTGCGACGTAATTATTACCCGGTTATTACCGCGCGAGAACACACGTTCCCCACATCTTTGAATATATCGGAGTTTTATTTATTAATCGAGGAGAATCTTATTTTTCAATTAATTAATTAAATCATTTTCTCTCCTTCCGAAAGAGCTTGATATGAATTTCTCGGTACCGTTTGCCTAGTTTAGTAGCTAG